ACGCGGCGCTGTCGCCAAAGCGACCGTGACGTGGCGCCCTGCCATTGGCTTATTCCCCCGCAAACGCCGAAGTTTGTAAAATGTTACGGCTTTCATTTGAAATAACGTTTCCTTAAGGCCAACGAAGGTAACGAACCACTTTAAACATTATTAAACACGTGCAAGATCTTCAGTACTCCGCGCTGTTAACCTTTTGGGGATTTATTACTTTCACGCTTGAAGTTTGCGCTATCTAGTTGGGCACCTCCCAAGTTGCCTGACCTTCCTGCCGGGTTTGGGGCTCCTTCCTCCGTATGAATTATAGGCGACGGGAAGGTCCCGCCGTTCTGTCGATTGTAAGGCCTCGCTCATTCAATCTCCTATTCAAGTCTTAATCTTCCACACTGCTGCTGTACCTTCAAAGTACAGATGCAAAATGTCAGTTGCATTTCAATTGAATGTTTCGAATGTAATCGCTTGCAGTCGCGAATGTGTTCAGCTGGAAATGTGTTGAGAGGGGTGTGTTTTTGGATGGACTTGTCACCTTCATGGGAATGTGGAATTTCCTTCAGTAGTCAAGGCTGTAGTCAGGAGGTGAGTGCTGGCCTACGCGCTTTCGAGCAGGAATGAGATTACTTCCACGAGTCGTTACGATGTGCAACGAAATAGCATTGTTCTGCTTTGCGAAAATACCGTATTTTGCAAGTATTTGGTAACTTGAGGCACGTTACGATTTCGGGTTAGCTATTGAGGGCGGATCGAGATGAAATCAAGACGCGCAAACGGTCGGAGCGCTCATTGAAAGCTCCATTTAATTGATAATGAAAATCTACCAAACAATGTGTTTGCAAAAGAAAGTTTTCGATCGGTGTGCGTTCCTGCCATTACTTTGGGTGAGAGTGACGTGTACACTGAAATACACGTCAAACAAAAGTTGTAAAGATAGCAAAGATGCATGGTTAGGTATGTTTGGCGATACCATTGATTTCAAGAAAAACGCATTAAGTCAGTGGGCGTCGGAAGGACACATTGTTGAACTTCTTTCGCACCGTACGTAGCCAGCGGCGCTTGTCGGAGGTGCGGTGGAAGGGCAGAAAACTAAACACAAACAGCAGCTTTGATGACATTAGTTTTCATTCACGAGAACGATGATGGACGAGACTGATTTTGAACGGCAGCCAAAGAAGTGATCGTGCCCAAGAAGATCACCACCGCTAATATGGAGCGGATAGAGATAAGATCGGCTCCCGTGGACATCACAGAACCGCGGGGAGACCTTTATCCAGCAGTGGATAGGTCATGAATGATGTTAGATTACCTTTAAATCAAATAAGACTTTGATAAACCCGTAGACTTACCAAATTGTCACAGACGGTAAATCTATAAAGACATAATACATGGGGTTTTTTTTGGTTTAGATCGCGTAAATATATACAGTAATTGTGTCGTTAAACTCGTCACCACCCGACAGCCAATTCGTAAGGTTTATAACGTAAACAGAACATGCCAATTCGTTACTAGTGCAACACACTGGTATGTTGGAGAGCAACTACACAACATTTACAATCTTACGAATTGGCTGTGTCGGGTGGTGGCGGGTTTAACGACACACATTTACACGATCTAACCCATAGGGATATTATGGATGGTATTGGTCGCGAAAGCCTCCTAAGTGTAACAATACTTTACATTCGCCAGGTGAGGGCCCAGTGAAACTATTTTTCAAAAGAGACCTGGGTCATACATTGTCTAATGGGAAGATCGACAACATGCCAGAGTGGAGCTTTCATCGTTTGGTCCAAGGGTGTAAATTAGTGACAGGCGGTAAGCGCCACTCCACGATCACTCCAACATGAAATCTCTAACTTGGTATTTTTTTTATTTACTGCTGTAGAATGCACAGTGACATTTGGTTTCCATCGAAACACTCACAGTTGGAATTGGCCGAACATCCCAATGTAGAACTCTCCTGAAAATATGTTGGTGTTCAGCGAGGCGTTCTTGGATTAAGGGCATCGTTATTTATTTAAATCGCATGACTAATGAACACCATTTATAATGCGTGCATATTTCGCAAATTGGGCGCGATGTTCAATCCAGAACTCGGAAGGCGCAGAGCCAGAGCTCCCAAGTCCCTCGTAAGCCGGCCTGAACAGTTGAGAGCCTGGACAGGTGAGCCTTAAATGTGTTTTAAAAAAAACTTCCTTATATTGTGTAAAATGTTTTTTTTCTTCCTGTGAAGGTGGAGATAGGACGTGAATGAAAACAATGAATTGTGCCTTATTGCTCACGCGAATGTGAAACCGTGACCTTGAACACCACCACTGCTTCCTTTCCCACAACCCCCACTCTCTCCCTGCTGTAGGTCAAGCGTAGCCTTGTTTCTTGGGCTCCCTGGAGCAAACAATTGTTGACTATAAACACCGTCAACAAGACAAGGCCAAGCAATAATTTTAAATTAAAAAGTGAGAAGATTTCGCTGATTCACCGGGCCTACTGTCTGTGGCCGATCGAGACTGTCCGGGCCGCACCGGCGACGCAGCCGCAATTACAACCACAACAACACCATCACCATTGCTGGCTTGCGCTGACAACTCAACCATGCAGCCAGTGCTCAAGATGAAGGTGAACGAGCTGTTCGCCCGCTGGTTGAGCAGCGATGATGTTCGGCGGTCCCTGAAGGAGCTTCTTCATCAAATTCAAAACTCTGACGATGACGCGGCGGGAGGGGAGGGCTCTTCGGACTGTGACGGAAACATGGAGGATGATGCTGCCATGCTGAGTGCAAACGGGAGCTCGTCGGATTTCGGCCGAACGTCGCTGACATCCTCGCCCAGGTACCGCTGCTGCCGACGCTGAAATGGATTGGTGGCTGAAGAGATGGGTGATGTTTCTGAGCACTAAGCGGGCACCGCTGAGATCCTGGATTTGAATCTGTGTTTTGGCAGCCCGTAATTAAATCGAGTTCCCAAGTGTTGGCAGTTGATGGCAGGATTGCATGACACTGGTCCTTGAAGGCCTCAATCCGGCATAGTTTATAGATTACACCGAGTTTATACATCAAAACAGTCAACAAAAAGTCCTCTTTAAGCACTGATTAAGTGTTTGAAAGCTCAGTTGGATTGAAAATCAAAAGAAACTGCAATCCTTGAGGAACGGACTTATGCACCCTGGCTAAGTTTTCAGCCTGGTCACCAATAAATGCAGAAAAAAAATTACGAAATTTGGTTTAGAGCTTAATTGGATTATTCCATCTCTGAAAATTTCAAATTTTGGTTTATTGCCAACCATCAATGGGGGAGGGGGTGGTGGTATGTGATAACTTATGCTTGCTACCTTGCTTAAGAAGCAAAATGAGCCGACTGAGGCGAACTCGTTCCTCACCGAGAACGTAACGAGTGAAGAGTTTTCCCGATTTCGTATCAGTTGTAATTTTGCCATGCTTGCCATATTTAAATGCAGCAAACCCATTCAAATGTGTTCACAAGACAATGTGTAACTCAAGAGCGCAGTAAAAGTGGCAAAGCTGAATGGCATTCTGTAGCTTATGGTCCAAGATTTGAAGAATTTGAAAAATCTCTCGCGAATGACTTTATTTGGAAAGACAGCGATCGTTGCACCTACTCCAAAAACGTACCTGGAACCTGGGTGAACAAATGGCATTATTGATCTCTAATGTGTTTTCGGGTTGTGCCAACAATTTGCGACGTGTGCCTGGAGATTCTTCCATTCCTGCGAGCGTACTTAGCGTGGCCAAGATGCTTGCAGTGACGCATCAGTGTCGTTTGCGGTCCGTTTGGAAGTGGGAGGCTTCTGCCTCGTGTGGCTGCGGACCGTGCAAAGTGAAGTTGTTGGCCAGATGTGGCCCGCCCGTTGCGGACGATGCTTCTCGCACTGCGCGGTTTGACGGCGGCGTTGTTGCTGCTCTTGCAGATCTCCAAGGCAGCCCGCTCACTCCATGCTGAGCTCGGGTGCCCCCTTAAGCCCACGCAGCCCCCACAGCCTCTCGGGATCGCACAGGACCCCGCGACGACTGCTGGGAAGCAGGCAGGCAAGGCCACAATCTCCGTGGACTCCTCTGTCTTTGCGTCCTTCTTTAACCATTCTTTGCAACATATTTCCACATGATAAACCACTTCGTTAAGCTATCATTTGTGGCCAGGTCGCTTCTGAAAAATGAGCTGTTAACGCAGTGGGTTGTACCTGGTAAAATAAAAAAATAAGTTTTATTTGTATATATATTTTAAGTGATTTTCTTTCCTTTTCTGTACCTTGCACGCCCATCGTGTTTTTTTGTTGTAATGTTCTGACTGACCCCGCTAGAAATCTGTGAAAAAGGGCTTTATAGCTCATAGGATTACTCCAGTATGAATACATATTCTGATTATGGCTCAGTTGGAGAGTGAGCAGCCCCCAATTGGAAGGTTGCAAGTTCCAAATCATGGTTGAGGGTTGCCACAAAACATCCCTCTGGGGATGATAAAAATGAGTCTCACGTTGTGGGGAGGTCAATAGCCAGAACACACAAGCACTAAGACATCATGACATGAATAGTCGAACACGAAGGAAAGAAGTACCTTCACAACCAGTATATTTAAGAATTGTGGCTCGCTGTGAGTTGCCTATGTCACAACGGACCGTGGTTAGTCTCTCTTAAGAGTCCGTTAATGTCAAAGGCTCTAACAACTTAACTCCAGCAATTTATCGAAGATGGTAAAGTGTAGCGGAAGAAATGTCCGAACAATACTTTTATTAAATTATCAAGATATATTTTTGTATCCACAATATATGCATTTAAATGCATGCGTACATCTGTGTTTAATACTTTATATATTGTATGTAATGGGTTGATGCCATTGCTTAAGCCACTAGAGGCACTATCATGAAAAAATATTCGTGACCCTGAATCGTGACAATCCACGGAATCGTTTATTTATTTTATATTTCACAAAACCCAACGCCCACGTGCGCAGCCGCACGCACTCACACAACACGCACACAAAACGAAAAGTGAAAAATAATTACACGGGGAATTTACCTTTAATCTCCACATTCCTCCGTTCACCTCCAACCACATTAACAGCTTACGTGACAAATGGCAAAGTGATTGTTGTAATGAATAGCGAGCCCGCTGCTGTGGCTTGTTTGAGATGTTCCCTCCCTGCTGCTTTGTATTACCGGTTGTTGCCTGTACTACCGCTCCTTTTTTGTATACATTTATTAATTTTCATCTCGCAATCGTTATTTCCAATTGTACGATTGGCATAGTGTCATGCGACGGTGACGTACGCCCGTGTCTAACATTTACAGCGGCCTGCGCGAATAGTCGGCCTTGTGTCCGAGAAGGACGTATTTTTCAACTCATTGATTTTGGTGTTGTGACGTGAAGACATTTTTAATCTGAACTGTCACGGCAGCAAAACGTGTGCACCGCTTTTTGGTCGGAAAAGATCACATCACAAGAATTGTTTCGGTTTCAACGATGAGTTCGGTGAATCACTTTGAATTCTGTGTTGTTCACAAAACAACATGAACATATTTTCCTTTATTCATGTATTTTTTAAAGTTCTGCGCATCGGCACACTTAGGTAATGCATTTGAATCGACGCTAGATGGTGCATCTTCCCATACGCCCTGCAAGAGATGTGTTCATCACATATTAGTTCAACTGAAATTGCTCAAATAGGCCACACATATAGTGACGAGTCAAATTGAATGTGATGGAGTTTTTGTTGCCGCATCATTGGTGACCAGACAAGAGCATCATCTCGGTGGCGATTGTAGAACGCGGTACACACAACACACAAAAGCACGCTTCATCTAAACATGGAGGGGGGCAGGATTACTCATTCCACAACCTAGGTGTTAAACTCCATGCGTAGGATGACATGAAAAAGGAAAAAAACAATGACAAGGTGTTGTTGGCATAAACTGCATTGTTCTTCACGTGCTCTGTATCTTAAATGTAATTCTCTCCCAAGCCAGAGCAGGGAGCTACCTCTGAATTAAGGTGGGAGGGGATAAGATGAAAGCTTTGTTAAATAGAATCTCCACTCAACTGCATTAGCCCGCTACACTTAAGAGTCCGACTGCATCGGGATGCCCACTTGGCTCAGAGGTCAGTGCACTGAGCTGGCGCTGCTGGTATCTTGGGTTCCAAATCCTGGCAGCCACCTATAATTAAACTGCGTTCTCAAGTGTTGTTATTTCATGCTGTCAGCCTGGTCACCAATGACATAACAAAAATATTTAGTTGTGCACTTCAGTTGACTAAATTCCAGCTCTAAGAGTTAGAAATATTGGTTTGTCTGTCATGCAAGGAACACTGCTCTCTGTGGAAGGGCGGATAGGAAAATGCTTCCCTATAGTGTGGAAGAGATCCCCACAGTGAAGTCTGTGGTAACCGGCACCTCCGATTTTCCCAAACCTCCAATTTGACATGGTTGGCTACGTATGGTGCGAAAGAAGTTAAACATATATGCAATACATGCTTACGTATAACACATTGAGTTGCACTTTTCTGCTAGAGTTCAGTATGTATAATCTTGATTTGAAGCTTTCGTGACTGCAGGAATCCATACTCTTTGGTTCTTTCGGTAAAGTCACGTAGGTATAAAAAACATTTATTTCAGTATGTATACTTCGTATAATGACATAACGTCGAATGGCACAATCGAGATACAACTGGGGAACACATTTATATATATACACTACGTATATTTTTAAGTGTCTGCCTTAATTGTGGATACCTGAAACCACGATTAAAATCCCAACATGACAGCGGTAACTGACTCACACAGCCATTATGGACCACGATGCATCACTACGTACACTCCTCTGTTGGTACCAAATACGGGCTGGGAGTCGCGGGACGCGAGCGGAGAGCCACGTCGAGGCTCGCTGGAAGCCACGCAGGTATGCGGCACGCGCTCCGTCTTGCCCGCACCGCCGGGACGGGACGGGGGAGCTTAGGCGCGTGCCTTTGGCTGTCTCCCCTGCGCCTTCACAGAACACACCGCGAGACAGTAACGTATGAATAACAGCGGTGAGGCTGGCCGCGTGGGGCTGCGGTGAGGGGCACTAAACTCACATTCGGAAGCTGTTATGCGAGTTCAAGTCTCAGTCGGGTGTCGAGTCGGATGGAGTCGACATCTGACCGTCATCCCTCCAGACGGATTCTAATTAAAAAAAAAGTGTACGAGGGTACTGCTTAGTGGGAAGTCGGCAGTGGTTGTCCTATGCTGAGATCGGCCCTCACGATGGAATTTCCACCACTCCTTGAGGGTCCGCCAGTAGAGACGAGCGCTGGAGCGTTCCTCGTTTGAGCAGGGGAGATACTTTGATTCATTAAAAGGTGAATGTCAGAGACTCGACAGAGTTCAGTTCAATTTCGATTTAAAGCTTTCGTGACTGCAGGGATTCATAGTCCTGGTTCTTTCGGTAATGTCACACCTGATGATGATTGCTTGTGTTGCTAACGAAACGTCGTGAGAATTTCATTGTTGTATTAGTATTATTTTATTATTTATCTTCTACGTGACTTTACCGAAAGAACCAGGAATAAGAGTTCAGTTCAGATCTGTTATACATCATCAGCAACAGCAGTTGCTTTCAACAAATGACAGGCTGATCCTGGGTTCACTTGTCCTTACAGAGTGTTATGTAATTAGTATTTTGTTTAGGGTTACGGTTGGTGATAAAATGAATACCAGTGTCAGGATTAGGGTTAAGTCTAGTGTTACTGCTGGGGTTAGTGTTAATGACAGTGCTATAGTCAGGGAGACACTTTCGTGTCAAGGCCAGGGGTTGGGATTAGGAGTCGGGATTAGAGTTCAGAATAAGCGACAGTGTCACGCTTTTTACACTCACTTGACAACGGTATGTCCCAGCAGCTACTCAGTTCACTTTCCTGCCAGTCAAATAAAACAACCGTGCTGGTGGTGCCGCTTGCTCCTATTTTATTTCTCCACCTTTTAATGAAAGGGTTAAGGCAGTGGGCTGGTCTCGGCTCCATGTGTTGGGGTTGCCTTTGTAGTTTCCAGAAGAAGGCAAACAGGTCTGACTCGCCGTGCTGGGTCATGTCGGCTGTATTCTCCCCCCCCCCCCAAGGAGCCTCACACATTTCCAAGTGTACGTGAAGTTGACTACGTCTGGCCCACAGAACTTGCGGTATAAACATTGGCATTTGTCTCTCTAACACACTTACCATTGGGAACGTGGAATTTCCACCAGTCGCTCAGAGCCACCAATTGCGGTGAACAACCAGTCCTTGCTCGATTGACCAACGAGGTACTTTGACTTTGAACATATGACAAAATCCTTACGACAATTGACACAAAAAAATGGCAAGCCTCTTTGTACGGCAAGTGTGTATATATATCCAAACAGATTTCCCCGTTATTAGCGAGCACATTAAGGCCAGCATAGCACACAAGGGGGTGGTGTCCAGGACCACGATGCAGCCAGCTTTGTCTCTCCATTGCTGATGTTCACACACCGCACCAGGTACTCATTTAAGCATTCAGTCGACCTAGCAGAGGCCGGGACAATACTCGCAACTGATGTTAGTCGTGGCTGGGATTCGAACTTAGTTCACTGGGTTTGTAGTGCAGTGTGCCAACCTACAAGCCACCCTTGTATAACAACAACTGTTATTTGCCAATAAGTGGTGGTGACATGGCCAGGGTAATTGTGTGAGGCTATTTTCACATAAGGCAACTTGACGTGTCAAAGCTTTGTGATTCAGGAGGTCGAGGGACAGGCTCAGGTACTATGGGTTGACTGACTGAGATGACTGATAGATGTATCGCCTGCACTCTCCACTCTGCCAGCTGTATCTGCGGTGCTGCGGTGGCGAGATATTTGGAGTTTGCATGTTCTCTCTATCTTATAGTGGTCGTCTGGATATTTCTCCGGGTCCTCCGATTTTCCCACTAACATTTTTTTTAGTGTATTCGACTGCTATAAATTTCCACGTGATTAGCTATTTCGTTGAGCTATCATTTGTGGTGTATATCTGTTAAAATAAAAAAAAACAATTGTTTTAATAGTTTATTTTCATCCTGGCATGCACCAAACCTGCTGGTTCAGAGGAACACATTGCAATATCGGGGAGACACTGGCAGCAGAGCGTGGCGTCGCGTGCTAACCAGCGTGTCACCTAGGCACGTCGAGGTGAGAAGGTGACGTGACCCCCATCCCCACCCACCCACTCACCCGCACTTGTCCCCGCCCCTCTCGGCACCTCGTCTCTGCCTTTCTCACCAAAGGTCATCGGAGAGAAAGTCTAGAAATAATAGCTGTGGCTCGTGGCTGTGTGAAGTTTCAGGGTGCGGTGCGTGCGTGCGTACGTGCGTGCGTGTATGCTGGTGGGGAGCGGTAGGGTTGAACTTCTTTCGCACCGTACGCAGCCAACCGTGTTAATCCGAGGTGTGGGGAAGGACAACAAACTAAACACAAAAAGCAGTTCTAAAGAAATGTATTTTCAATTTAGATTTGAAAAGGCATAGCTCCAATGGGTCCCAGACGGCCGCAGAAGAGCATCTGAAAGCACACAATGCGGTAACCGTCTTTGTTCGATGGCTAGCCAAAAGCTGCTGCTGTGAGGATGGCCGGAGTTCGCGTGTTTGTTTATGCTCCTTGGCGATATTAGCAAGGTATTGTGCTTCATATGTGGCAAGCACTTTGTAATGAGTGCGACCTTATAACATATTCGTTCGGTAACTAGAAGCCAATGCAGCTCAGCGAGCACTGGACGCACATGGTCTCATCTTGCAGTACCTGTCACGACACGTGCCAGACAATTTTGTACACGCTGCAGCTTGCTAATGTTATTGCCAGACGTAGCGGTTAGCGCTACGCTGCGCTACGAACCCGGCTACCCGAGTTCGATTCCCGCTCACGGCCAACACCAGTGACGATTATCTGAAGCGGTCCTGGACCTCCCCTAGGTGGACTTGGTCTCAAATGAATACCTGGGGCGATGTGTAAACATTCTCACTGGGGAGATAAAGGCGGCCGGGCGTGGTGCTGGCCACGCACTCCCTCGTGTGCCATGCCGGCCTTCATAGGTGTTTGTTAACAGCACTTGCTCCAAAAGCCTATACAGGCTATATGGGGGATATTTTTTCCTTGAATTATACTTACAAAAAGACAAGCTTTAATTATGTATTATAAATTCACACATGTTAAAGGTAGAAGCGCATTGTGTTAATATGCCGGTCCTCTCAGTGAAATTTCTGGGCATGGTAATCGGTATCTGAAACTCACCTGAATATTGGCAGGTTAACTCAGCCTAAAATGAGTAGCAGCTGTTGTGGTGGTGGTCGCCGTCGTCATTAGCACAGGTAAGTCAATGATGGACAGGTGTGTGTCTTTGTGGTGCTTGAATTGCTGGCCTTCATAGGTGCTTGCAGACAGCAGTTGCCACAAAAGTCTGTTGAGGCTATATGGTGGAAATTTGCCTTTGTGGTACTTGGATTAACGCTTCTAATAATGAACAGAACGTTGGATAAGTGTCAGAGTTAACAGTGAGAAGTATTGGTGGTGCATCTGCCAGTCACCGTAATCTGATAACCCATAATAATTCGAATTTATCTCGTGTCTGCTCCAGGACCTCCTGTTCAGTGTCCCCTTTGCCGCTTGACTTGACCTCAAAGTGAACCTAGCCTATTCTTTGGGTCTTTCGGTAAAGTCACGTAGATAGAAACAATAATAACAATAAAATAATTAAAATTAAAACGAATGAAAATAAAGTGACCCATACGAATATGAATTCTTGCAGTCACGAAAGCTTTAAGTCAAGATTGAACCTAGCCTGGCACAAATGGCGCGTCGACGCCACTGCCACTTGGTGGCGAACGTCAGTGATTGTGCATGGTCATGACAGTTCTCTTGTTTCTCGTCGATCCAATTGCCGCGGTGGCGAGATGTTAACTCCCTTGTCTGGTATGCAGGAGGTCGTGGGTTCAATCCAGACCCTGACACCTGCTGTGTATTTGGAATTTGCATGTCCCTCTTTCTCCGTGGTCGCGTGGATTTTTGTAATCACCATGCGTTTAGAGTATTTGGGTGCTATAAATGCCTACGTGATAGGCCACTTCGTTGAGATATCATTTGTGGCCAGGTCGCTTCTGAAAAAAAGCTGTTTAGCTCTGTGGGCCTTGCCTGGTAAAATAAAAATAGTTTTAAGGTTCGTTTTTAAATATTGTTTTCTATGATGCCACAACTGCTGCAGCACGAGATACCCAGAGCGGGCCCGGTGGCCTCACAAGTGAACCTAGCCTGGCACGGGCATAGCTCGGTCGGCGAGCGGCAGCTGTCGCCTCCGGGTGGTGGTGGGATGGGAGGGGGGGGTGTTCGCCTGTGGACGCTCGGAGGAAGGGTGGGGGAGGTGTGCGTGGGCAGCGAGGGCGATCGTGGAGGGAGAGAGTTGGAGAGAGGTGGGACGTTTCACCATCGCCCACTGTGACAACGGCAGCCGGGCTCGACGCTGGGATCTCACACCGCCTCGTTCGGTTGGCGGTGTTAAGAGTGAGCGACGGCGACGAGTGCGCCTGGCCCTTTTTGCAGTCTTTGCTAAAAAAAAAGCAAAAACAATTAAATTACAGAGCAACGTCTTGGTAATCGTATAAGTCGCCGGCATGCCTTGCACGCACTGCGGTGGGCTGGTTGAGGACAAGAGGTTGGTTTAACTTTCATGTTTTTTCCCGTTTTTGTGTAAGCGATACATGCGCTGTGTTGTTATGAATGAACGTTTGAAATTACTGTACGTTTGTTGTGTTTTCATGATCGCTGGTTGGGTGTACTTGGGTCTTTAAATGTTTGACCTTTGTTGCTCTCTAACATTTTGTTTGCAAAAATGAACCCCGTGCTTTTTGGTTGGCTGTTGTAAATCGTCAAATACAGACATCGTCATCTTCATTACATTCATCACCATTGTCATGATCGTCATGTTATTGCAGTGACACAATTTTAATCATAATTGTAATGAAAGAAATAACATCATCATAGGAGTGACAATTATCGTCATTATCATGATAGGACTGACATTCATTATCATCACGCTAGGGGTGACACAATCATCATTAGCACCACCAAGTCCAGCGCCACCAATTTGGCGATTGTGGCAATCAATTATATTAATTTCAATCAGTCGCCAAATTTAGCACGGTTGGCTACGTACGGTGCGAAACAAGTTCAACATACATCAGCTGTGTGACTTATCTTTACATAATAGATGAGTGCCAAGTCTAGTTTTTGAGTGCAAATGAAATGGAAAATATTGACTTGTTTGTCAAAATAGCTGATTATCATTCGAGTAGAAATTGTGTTTACTTTCTATTTGACTTATTTTTATTTCACCACAGTGAACAGGTACATTTATAGCGTCTTGGTTTTACCGAAGGAAAGCTTAGCGGAGTGATGACTCACGGCCAAGATGGTCGGTCCGACTGTGAGATGTTTTGGCCGGTCACTTGGGAATGTTACTGTCAGTGCCGGTGTTGAATTAATGAATTCATTCTCGCATCATGCGTGCGGGCAAGGGCTGCATTTTTAAAGGATGACGATCGTATTCATTTCACGGTGCGGTCAACAAAGAAAGTGAAACGGCAAAGAAACAATGAACCTGCAAAACGACACGCACGTACACCCAGATCCACACACCTTTGAAATGTGGAACATAGCACTTGACAGGAGGTGGCAAGTTGTTAGGGTTCACTGCTTGCGGAATCCCACCTGGCAAGGAATCTGAGATGAATATCGGGGAGATAATGTAGAAAAAACGAGCACGTAGAGAGATGCATGCTCAGAATTTCACTTAAGAGACAGACAGAGCAACACGCGCGTCAAAGAATTAACGCATGTCGGAGATGCCACAATGACTGTGAACAAAAGGTAAATTGGCTTGAGCAGGAAATATTGTGGCTGGAAGAGACAAGAATAGCTGAAGGAAGGGACTGAGAAATAGAATGGCAGCCAGGGGATAGAATCTCCCCGAGAGGACGCCAACCACGGAGACGGAGCGATGAGGTCAACTCGTGTGCAGGAGGTGCGGGCGTTGTTGCCTTTTGAGAAAGTGAATGATTTAACATGTATTAGGCTTTCGCGACCAATATTAAGGTTTTTGGGTTAGGTCGTGTGAATATGAATGTGTCGTTAAACCCGCCACCACCCGACACAGCCAATTAGTAAGGTTTGTCACGTAAACAGAACAAGTCAATTCGTCACTAGTACAGCACACACCCCGGTGTGTTGGAAAGTAACAAAAAATAATCTGGCTGTCGCCTGATGATGCTAGTTGTAATTACTGGCGATACGTTGTACTTGAATTGTACATTTCGATTTAAAGCTTTCGTGACTGCAGGGATTAATCTTCTGGGTTCTTTCGGTAAAGTCACGTAGAATGGAGATAAAATAATAATAATTAAAATAATAACAGAATAAAATTCTCACGACGTTTCGGCCACAACACAAGTAGCCTTCCTCAGGTGAAGAAACAGGACTGTCCGGAAGACAGCGCTTGAGTGAACCCTGCCAAGCTTGGAAGTGTCTTTTAAGCTGTGTGGGAGGAACAGAGCGCCTTGACAAAGGAGTTTACATATAAATTAGCATGTACTGATGTTGGTGTGAGGGATGAGAATTTTATTCTGTTATTATTATTTTTATTATTTTATCTCCATTCTACGTGACTTTACCGAAAGAACCCAGAAGATGAATTGTACATGTTGTGGATTTACTCTCCAGCACATCGGTGTGCTGTACTAGTAACGAATTGGCATGTTTTGTTTACGTGACAAACCTTACTAATTGGCTGTGTCAGGTGGTGGAGGGTTTAAAGACAAATTTATATTTGCGCGATTCTAACCCGAAAAAAGGCCTCTATTATGGAAAATGAGGGACGTTGACGAATTGAGGAGAGGCCTTCATCCACCAGCGGCTGTCCAGCTTATGACCGATGACGACTGACAACGAGACAGACGACGTTGGGAGATTGAGAGGGTGAAGTGCAGGCAGTTGCGACGCTGCTGGGCAAGAGATTTACAACTGGCAAGGAGCGACGGGGTTTGACTTCAAAGGAGGACAGCGATTCAAAAGCACATGGGGAAGTTCTGCGATTCCGCACGTGCATTTCGGACACCTTTGAACTCTTCGAGCCGTCGTTAGTATAAGTCGCGTGGTGGCTCTTTACTTGGGCGTCGTGCGTCGAGCAGTTAGTACTGAAATTCAGGTGGGAATAATTTGTCCGTCTTTGTGGATCGGGGAGAAAATGCTCGTAAAATTGACCACGGTGTCGAACGCGCTGGGACTTCCTCGGACGTTCTGACTTTTTTTTAATCCACGCACCCATGGCCATGATGCATTCAGTTTCTGGTAGGTGTGCCAAACCACTGACTCCTGTAAATAATCTGTACTTTAAAAAACAAAGTTTATTATTCACCTTCAAAATGACACCACCTGTAATGAGGATAATTCATTACTTTTGGAACTGCCCAGATACGGACCCAGGCTTTGGTTCCTGGCCTGCTCAACACGGGGTTGAAGATCTGCCATCAGAATTCAAACAAGTTTTCGAGTCACCTTTTTGGAATGCTGCTGACATGCTTGGGCGATATAAGCATGGTACTGCAACTGTGTGTTACACATTCTCGCTCAATGAGAGTATTTCATTTGTGGTACGTGGGACGTGCATTCCCCGTGACATAATCGCAGTTGTAACTTCACTGCAGTCTCTTGTTCGTACGTTGAGCTGCTTGAGCAAGTTAATTACGTCAGGGGAAGTGGAGTGGCTCTAACGCTGTTGTTATGCCTCCTTCGCGTTCTTTTCCGTGACACAACCGGAGTTGCAGAGTTGTAGATTAAATTAAAAAGTATTTTATTTTATTTAATCGCCATCGTGAACAAAACTTTTTTAAACTCACTTTGGTCAGCCCGGGCAATACGGTACACTCGGCCAAATTGCGAATCGACAAGGTTTAAGCTGTTGTATTCTTTTTTTTATTTTGCATCTCCCCTTAAAGGGCAACTCTGCAAGCCCCCATATCCCTCAGTCAGGTCGGTAAGGAGCTTTTATGTTACATAATGGTATACTGTACAGCGTGTCCCCTGACCTGTTTAGGGAGCCTACGGGGAACGCCGACCCTACATTAAGCGCTGCCCAAAATAAAATAAAAAAAATGTCTAGTATAGTATTTGTGATTGCTCTTGGCTTTGGTGACCCACATAGCTGTCCTGTGTAGCGTTTGCATGGCGTTGTGGAGTTAACTTGCAGTGTGGCTAGGCGGCAGCTCATCCGTTTTCTGAACAAAGTTGTGGTAAACATTTTTCACCATCTATTTTCGCCATTGCCGGGGGGGGGGGGCAGGAGCCCTGTGTGAACACTGTACTGTGAAGGATACGCGGAAGGAGACCCCGTGCTTTGCGTGTGATTTTCACGTGTGCGTGTAAGACTTGAAAATTAACCGAACAGCCCATTGCCAGTCACTTTGCTGGATGAAAGCCCCCACCAACCGTGTCAGTTGCAAGGGTTTGTTAGACCATACCTCACGACGCTGTTCACTGGGTTCGTGAAGGGGGGCGGTGAATGGGGGGGGGCACTTAGGACCGGCTTGGTTATCACTGGGTTGGTAATTATCACTCGCGACTGTTGTCAGCTGTAGTTGGGAATTGAACTCTAGAAATTTAGGATTATAGCGCGGTGCATGAGGCTTGTAATAGGTGTGGAACAATGCATACATTTGTTGATTGGACATCGATTCTGAAGCTCTCAGCATATGCATGTAATCTCGTGTGTGTGTAAGAAATTACGCTTTTTTTAGAATTGGTGAATGCATTTAAACGAGTAATGCCACCTCAGCAGCCTCTAGAGGCACCACCACTGACTGCCGTGTAAAAAATAAAATAACAATCGGTGATTGAATGCAATGCGTGACACTGCTGCACAACGATTCTGAATTGTTGCCAATTCCGGGACACACGGACCCGCTGATTATTTGTTTTACATCTCGTGCTTAAATTGTATATATTCCAGAAAATGTTTACTAAATCTTGCACAGCACTGTAATGATTAAATACGAATGGAGCAGTGGAAATGTGTGGCCAGGTGATGGTGTGAGTGAATGGGACTTTACGGCACCGGTATTGCTGTATTTAATTAAATGTAGGGTAGCGAATGATACAGTTCCCCAATGCCACGCTCACCCAAGGTCACATTCACCTGAACTGTTTAGTATTTCAGAGTTGTTTTTACAGTGGGGTTTGAGGTATGTATGCAGCTTGTGCGTGCGCGTGTGTGTGGAGCGGTAGGGGAGCACTTGTATATTGTTAATGCACTTTGCTACAAACCCGGCGAACAGAGTTCCATTCCTGCTGATGGTCAACACCAGTGAAGAATACCTGAACCGGTCGGTGCTCGGTCTCCCGTAGGTAGACTGAGCCTTAAATGAGTACCTGGTGCGATGTGTAAATATCACCACTGGGGAGACAAGGGTGGCTGAGGCGTGGTTCTGGCCACCCACCCCCTCGTGTGCTGTCCCAGTTAGTGGATAATCGCAGAAATGTTGTGTCAAGGAAGTGCCATACACTGGCTCGCCAGGAGAAGACGGTACAGCAAGTAGGCTAATCTCCATCTGTTTGCAACTGGACAAGGAAGGACCCAGCGCTTACCCATGGATACTCAGATTTACAGGCCACAATTGGTAAATTGGTATGCAAATAATAAACCTTGTACACATGGTTGGAAAGTCCGCGCTGGCGAAGGATTTCTGTATGTAATTTTATGGTGGGTGTGCAGTGTTTGTTGGCAGCATATGTACTGCATCTATGCCTTGTGTATATGTAATTTTGTGTATTGCTCAACGTAATAGTTCGAGTAACCTTTCATGACGTGCCAATGATAAAACCAACTCTATGCACCAGTCACATAATATCACAGTTCATTGAAACCATACTGAGTCTCACTGTAAGATAAGGGAATATCACAAACGCTTCAATACAAATTTTTATTTAAAGCTTTCGTGACTGCAGTAATTCATATTCTTAGCTCTTTCGGTAAAGTCAGGTTGAAGGGAAACAATAAAATAATAAAATGTTTCCCTTCAACGTGACTTTACCGAAAGAGCTAAGAATATGCTTCAATACAATTCTAGGGATATTGGGTCAACGGGCATCTTGAACACCAACTAAAAAGCATAGAGGTGGCGTCCACCTTCATTGGCCACTCTGAGCTAGTGGAGGAAATTCCACCTTCTGTAACAGGGCTCAGTATCTATAGGACAACCAGAAAAAAACGTAGTTCCCATTTTAGCGACATTGTAAGGATGATGGGCTGAATTTGACTCACTGTCAGGATTTGAATCCATCACCCTGACAACAGCTGATTATTATACTACTTAAAAGTGAAGGTCAACAGGTCATCACAATCAAGATTGTTGGTGCCACTGCACCTCGCCGTCACTTCCAACCTTCTGCCAGATCTTGCAGCTGTTGTTGTCAATAACCCAGACCTTTAAAGTTCGCTCTTTGATTGTCCCACCATCTGGCTTTAGGCCTTTTGAGTGACTGGGTGACATTCTAATGATGTTCTCGAAGGCCTAGAGAGCAAAACATTGGAAGAAATATTGTCGAGTTGATGCCTATTACTTTGAAAAAATCTGAACTTACATCCTTGTTTTGGTGTCTGCAAAATCTTATGAAACGAGAGTAAACTTTTCCTTGTTTGAACTTTCAGTCTATGGAAGTTGGTATCTGGAGGTTTTTAAGGGTTCTGAATTCAAAGGTAGCTCTCGATTTGTTTCGATAACTCAATTCTTTATTTTGCTTGTGTTTTAAGTATGTGACACAAACCCTGATAGACGACAGACAAAGGCCAATAGCAGTTTTATATCTAGCACGAACACATCTACTCCCTGCCTTCGCCAATTCACACGAACCAGCGTGGTGAAGCTGGTTCGTGTGAATTGTCAGACAGCACCCACTATCCGCACGTAGCGGGGAGGCAATTATCCAGCAGCGTATTGACAACAATTGCTGCAAATATACGCACTGGATTTGTGTCTCCAGTGATCGAAGGGCTGTACATATCAGTAAAGTATAGGCCAAACAGACTTTTGACACAATTGCTGTTAGCGAGCACCTCTTAAGGCCGGCATTGCACACGAGGAGATGGGTGGCTAGCACCTTGCCCGGCCACGTTTGTCTCTCCAGTGGTGATGTTTACACATTACACCAGGTACTCGTTTGAGGCTGAGTCAACCTAGAGGCGACCCTGGACTAGTTTATATAATCATCACTGGTGTTGCCCCTGTGCGGGTATCGAACTCGGGTTACTGGGATTGTAGCGCAGCATGCTAACTGCTGCACTCCCGCTCCCCACATATCAGTACCAAAAGACAAAGATCCCCCGCATAGCCTTGACAGACTGTTAGGGCAAGTGTTGTTAGCGAACACCTATGAAGGCTGGCACAGTACACGAGGGGGTGGGTGGCCAACACCACGCCCGACCGCCTTTGTCTCCCCAGTGGCAATGTTTACACACTGCAGCAGGTGCCCATTTGAGGCTGAGTCGACCTAGGGGAGGCCCTCGACCAGTTCAGATAATCGTCACCGGTGTTGGCCGTGAGTGAGAATCGAATTCTCGTCGGGTTCGTGGCGCAGCGTAGCGCTAATTGCTGCTGCCACATATCTGTAGACATATCTGTACACACACGCGCACACGCGCTGGGTTCGTGTGTCACGTAATCATCAGTACGCACGGCCGCGTTTGGGGCGTGTGTACCTGCTCGCTAGGCCCCCCCACACTCCTCCCATGAAAAACACTGGGCGTCAGTGCCAGCACTGCGAGTGCTTGCTTGCCCACCTGCTCCCGCCAGAGTACGGAACGCTCCTCACTCCGAGTTTCTTTGCCGCCGGTGGTGGTGGTTGTGGCGGCGGCGGCGGCGTTGGCGGTGGTGGCGTTGCATTCATTCCAGAGTCGCTGTGTGCGTGTGTGTGTGTGCGTGTCTGTGAAAGAGAGAGAGGGAGAGAGATCGCACATGCTCACTGCTGTTGCAGTCTGCTCGCATAGCAGCCCTTCCTTCAGGAGTGCAACGTAAGTTGTATTTATCATGCTGCGCTCTCATGTTCATTGCGCGATGTTTGTGTCGTGTACATTAGCTGCCGTGTGTTCTATCAGGTGGAATGTGGTATAACTTGCATGTTTATGCTGCTTCGTTGAAGTGAATATCTTTAGTGCGAGTGAGATGCACTTATTAGATAGTATAGCCGCGCGTGATCAATGAAACAACAGAAATGTAACTTAATATACGTATGAACAGAATTGTGTATGCACGCTGCGTACAAGGCACGGTGTTACTTTAGCAGGTTCATTATGGTGCACATATACACTAGTTAGCAGGTTAATTATAGTGCACATATACACTAGTTAGCAGGTTAATTGTAAATAATATGAGGTTGTTTTTCACGAGCCCGAGAGGAAAGAAAGGTCTCAACATTTTGCTAATCCGCGCTTATTTGGAAAACACAAGTGCGTACGTGTGCACATTCGCACATTTTAAAGTGTGACCTCAGCTGCGACCGAGTCATCTGGAACCATAAAGGACGCGCAGATTGAATCATCCTCGCTAAATGGCAGACCGCGCGTAACGTCGCTCCGCTAACGGCCGGATGCCGAGAGCACATTACAGAAAAAATCCCATTCACGCCACGCAGGAGGTCTCGCGCCGGCGTGCGGTTAACGGCGAAGCGCTGAGGGATAGATAATTCGCAGTCGCGTAGAAGGAAAACAGGAAAACAAGAGACGGTGGGAAAAAAACCCCCCAAAATAAAGTGGTTATTCAAGCATTACAGACATACCTTTTTATTCTGCCCCCCCCCCTCGACCCTTGGCTTCCCACCACACTGAAAATAAATAAATAAAGATGCCCGCTTGGAAGGAACACCCTGTTTTCAAAGGGATGGCCAATAAAGGCGTATGAAGGCCAACAAAAGTGTACTTGTAGTCGTGCAGCGTAGGCCCCCGTCACGCGCAGGAAATTCTCGGCCCCGCACGGCCCTCTTGTTTATGTAATGGCTGGCAGTGAAAACGCGTCCAATGTGCATTAATAGTCGGGAGCAATTTTACGGCAGATTTGCCCACGTGGGATGTTTAAACAGCTCCCTGGGGGGGGGGCGGTGGATGAGGAGGGAGCCTGGAGAGAGAGAGGGCAGCTCATCGCAGGAAAGCTACAAGCGGGTGTAGTGGCGCGCGATTGAACAAGTGCTCATTGTCAAGGGCAGGAAAGTTGGCTGCAGAGATTATGTTGACCGAGAATCGATAAGCTCGGGCAGTAGAACAGTAACCAAATAATTTACCAACATTCGTCGAGGCTTGTCAGTCGTGTTTTTTTTGTTCCTATTAATGTTTGTCAAACCCTGTCTTTTTTTAACATTCCTTTTTTGTTTTCAACCAGGCACAGCAGTTGACTTGTTTACGCTGTAATTCATGAAGGACATAAATTAATAGCTTGCCAAAGAACAAAACCTTTTTCTCAAAGTCATTTTAATTTGTTTCGACAATTCAATGGTGTACGGCCGCACTGATGAAGACACGGACTCGCCTGTCGTCCGTCATTAAGCGGGGGTGACGACAGATGGAGTCGCGGTGGCTGGACCAACAAGCCGTGCCCTACACCCTCAAGATGTCGTCCGTGCAGCGTTTCGGAAGTGTCCTCGTGGAGAGAAGCCCCATGGGCCCTGTGCACTACAGCCCTGCTAGCCTACAGGACGCGCAACCGCCCGCTGCCGGCCCCCGCCGTCCAAGCACTGAGCCCACAGCTGCCCCGTTGCACAGCTTGCCTCGCTATGGCGAAACGGCGGGGAGGAGGAATGGATTACCGCACCATCGCTCCTGGGCCTCTGCAGACGGCGAACATCACGCAGGAACCCAACAACAGTATCAGCAGCCGCAGCAGAATCTTGATCAGCAGCATCATCAACAACAGCAGCTCTATCAGCATCACCATGACCATCACGGTCTCCATCATAATAATAATCATCACCATCAACACGTTGGTCCCCATGCAGCGCCACAGAAAAACACCGTCATTAATTTGGCAAGTGGAAAGGCCAAGGAGGTTTCTGGGGATTGGTCCAAGGTGGCCGCATTGTCTCCGTCCACTGGTAGCAGTGTTGGCGGTGGACCCAGCAGTGGAAGTGGTGGCAGCGGTGGTGGTGGTGGTGGCCACCAGCCAGCTTCGACCACAAATCCGCCGGGTGTGGTGATGCGGAGGGCAGGTGGCCGCAAGGTGAAGGCGGAAACGGGCAGCCAGCGTGAGAGTCAGCTGTTCGCGATGGAACTCGCAGAGCTTATGTCCAGCGCCACGGCAAACTCGGAGACGCGCGATCTCGGCCTCCCGGGCCTCCCGCTGGGCGGTCTTCTGACGCCGGCCGATGTGGAGGGCCTTCTGAAGCGGGCGTACGGACGTGAGGGCATTGAGTCGTGCCTCCACATCCTGTTGCGCTGCTCTGAGGACCTAAAGCAGTGCACCGAGATTATCCGCAGGAGCATCCGGCAGCGGAAGAGCTCGCCCAACGGCGGCGGCGGCAGTGACGAAGACGCAGAGACCCAGTACCGGCAGCTCGTGTCGCAGCTGTCGATGCACTTGAGAAAGCTGCCGACCCCGCAGGAGGGCTTGGATGGACCTCGGCAAGAGGCGCTCGCTGACTTCCTGCAGAGCCTCTGTGAGCTGCAGGGGGTGGCGGAGCATGGGGGCGAGCGGCCGCCCCGATACGAGGATGTCGTCGGGCCTGTGATCCCGGACGCTGTTGGCGGCGCTAAAGCTGGGAGCCCCCTCGAAGGGCTGTCGGATGATGAGCGTGTTGCCGCTGCCAGATCGCCGGTTAGTGACGTCCTCTCGGGTTCGGTGCCCGTGCAAATTCGGCGGGTCTTACCAGAAGAAGGGGTCGGATGTACGGAGGCCTTGCACATCGTGGAAGAACGAGAAGATGTTGGCGTGAGCCCCAAGTCCTCTCTTCCAACTACCGCTCAGGGCCAAGGTCTCTTTCTCTCATCAGACAAACAGTTGCAAAGCCCAAGATATGTTTATGCACCTTGGGTTTCTAGACAATGGAACTTGGAAGCAGTGGGGTCTCCTTCGCAGGTCATCGGTAAGCAGGGCCTAGTACAGGATTTTCCTAGAGCCGGGCAATTCACCCATGATGGCGTGAGTGGGGTGACCCTTCCGGAGACAGGTGCGGCAGTGGCGCATCGTACGGGCATGCAGCGTCCTTCAGTGATCGTCAGCCACCGAGGAAACCGTCCGGGAGAGCGGCATGTGGAGACATCCCCAAGCCACGAGGAGGAGATGATGGATCTCGAAAGGTTAATCAATGAGTTGGAGGAATTCTCTCGCAGCGCGGGTTGCGCAGATAACGGTGGCAGCGGGGACACGGCGACGCGGAAACATTCGGCAACAGCACCCAGCGCCTCAACCGGGACGGCGATCTCGGCAAGCGGACTCCGCTCCGACAAGGAGGCTGTAGATCGAGAGAATCAGGTTCAACATCGGGTTATTGGATCGGCTCGTTCTACAACAACAGATTCTCCGCTCGTTGACGGCGTCAAGCAGTCGTATCGGATCGAATCGCTCGCCAACAGATGGGGCGCCGGGAGACATGGAGCTGATCAGGTGGTGCTCAGTCAGTCGCCGAGGGTGCTGAAGGTATTTCAATCGCGTGCCGTGCGTTAAGTGGTCCGCGCAACACTCCGACACATCTTAATTTGCCTTGTACTAGGCCTTCATTGCAAGAGGCAGTTGTTCAAGTGAGCTCTTGCCCGGTTGTAAATGAAACTTAACGTGTGTATACGAATTGGCCTTAACAGGCTCCACTGACCGTGAGATGTATTTATAATTTCTCATTGTAAATTGTGTCTATTTCCCCACCCCGGGTTGGGTGGCGCAGTGATCGCTGCTCACAACTGCAAGTCGTAAAAAGCGTCCCGTTTTAAAATCCCATTGAGTGACCAAAGTAGTCCATCATTCCTCCAGGGTTCACGAATTTAATACAACTCGGTGGGAAGTCCAACAGTTGTTTCCTATGGAGTGACTCAGCCCCCATCATAGGAATGTGGAATTTACACCACTGACTCAGGGATATAAACAGCAGCCGAGTACTACCCCACGCTCGCTTGAGCGAGCTAAAGCTTAATGTTTAAAAATAAACATTAAGCCTTCTTTCCCCCTTATTTTCAACGTTTTTAAATCACCACCCTTCTAAATAGCAGTCTACAGCTACAAGAATATATCAACTGCACTTCTTTCCCCCCTCACAAAGGGAGCGCCCTCGCTCGAACCCTGAGCCTGCTCAATGCATGTCTCTTCGAAAGCAGTGTTTTTTTATTAACATTTACAAATTTGGCTGTCGCCTCATGAAGCTAGTTGTAATTACTGGCAAAACGTCGTACTCAAATTGTAATTGTTGTGGCTTTGCTCTCCAACACACCGGTGTGCTGTACTCGTAACGAATTGGTATGTTCTGTTTACGTGACAAACCTTACTAATTGGCTGTTTCAGGTGGTGGCCGGTTTAACGACACAATTATATATTTACGCGATCTATCCCCAAAAAACCTGCATTATAAATATTTTTTTCGGTTTGCACTTGCACACCAATGCCAGCGCAATTCCTTACATTTGACTTGATCTAGTATGCATGCAGTACTTTATGAATGAGTAACTAACCGATGCATCTTAATGTTTTCCACGGGCTGGAGTAATAAAACTTATTGGATATATTTTTCTGGTGGTCCATAATTCTAAAATATGTATTTGGTAGTGTTTAGTTGCTATTGAGTAAAACAAAAAAATCTATATCTTAATGTAAGTTTGATCTCGTCTTTATGGTCGAGTACACGGTGACCAAACAGGCACTCCTAAATCTTTGCAACAAAATCACAGTACCAGGGAGTTTTATTTTGCGGTTGTTTGGCTTTTATCAATACGAAAGTGAAAATGAACGGAATGCTTAAATGAAAAATGCAAGCCCTATGACGCCGTTATCAGAGCATGCCACACACATTCGGCAGGTCGCGAATTCAACTCTCGCTCCATAAATTGAGTTCTCGTCTGTGGGAATACGGCAGTGGTTTTCCTATTGAGTGGCTCACTCTGGAGACACAACTGTCTCAGGCCGAGATCGCCCCAGCTTAAAGGGCGCTTTTTGAGAAACAAATCATGATTATTATTGCCTATTCTTGCAAGTGTTAGAATCCGTACCAGCTTTGGAGTTGTCTCGCCACTTCGGTCGTGTACACAGGGTCCCAGCACAGCTCATGTGGTCTCACAATGCCGAGTAGAATTAACACAATGCATTGTTTTCATTTGCATTGTTCCATTTTTAAATGTTCACATAATACATAAATTACATTACGTAATGATGGATCTTTTTTATGCTTTAATGATGGATCTTTTTTCCGCTTGAATAAAACCCCCCACTTAGATCCATCACAACTATGGATCTTGTGGACCGATGTTTTCTAACATCGTAGGCTGATGGCTGGGCAGTGCTGGTGGCTATGCACGTGGCCTGTAATCCAGCACTGAAATCGAGGGGTGGCGGATCACCGCACAAATGTTGTGAAACTCCTTTCCCGTGGGTGTCGAGGAGGTGCCATACCCTCGCTCGCCAGGAGGAGGCGGTACAGCAAGTTAACTTATCTCCATCTGTATCCAACTTTACAGGGAAAGATGCCTAATAAGTCTGTTTAAAGATAAGTAAGTCCGTGCTTCTCTATATGAGTTTGTTTTGCTGTCCTTGCTTACACCCAGTTTTCCTATTTAAAAAGACACTTCATGATTCAACATGAGCCTTCTCTTGCCTGGTTATAAACGACGGTGCTCTAGCTGTGTGGTATTTTCCCCAGTAAATCATTTCTCTAGTGTTATGTAATGGCAGGCTGGAACGCATACATTCTGACAAAGCCTGCCGTATGTGTGCTAAGTTGTTATTATCACTCTTGCTTGGTGCTCTGTAATTTAATTGCTTTGCCACTAATCCAGAGTGCCTGCTAATCTGCATGCGCTTGTTGTGATTTATTTAAGATCGCAGTCTGATGACCATTAATATACACACTTTGGGGTTATAATATTAGTGCCGTACACATAGACTGTGACAAAATGGTTAGCACGATGCCCTGTGAACCCGGGTACTTTGAGTTTGATTCCTGGCCGTGGCTAAAATCAGTTCTGAGCCCTCCACTACATCAACTCGCACTCAACCAGCGCAGTGAAATATGGTCACACAACCTCCGTGACTGACATGGTATGAAGAGGTCTTCTTCCAGCGGTGGATTGACAAAGGGCTCTAATGTATCATTATTCCGTATCTATGGGACCGGTGGCCAGTTGCAGACGACATTCCTAGTGTTTTTTGTGTTAAGATTATACGCTAGGGTTCAGCGTGGCGTTATGGTCCGCTCGTCACATCGCTTCTCTCTTACGTTTAGATTCGGTGTCAATGCAGCCATGTTACTGGAGCTGTGTGATGGAGCACCTAGTCAAAACTTTAAAGTTTATTTCTCATTAATGGAATGGCAAAGAGGCTCGCCACGTTCGTCACTAACAACACGTGGCCTTAAAAAAAAGAAAAATGATGTAAGAATAGGCGACGTTTCGAGCAATGGCCCTTCTTCACAGCACAGAGAGAGGGCCAGCGGAGTAGACTGGTGCTTGTGCTCCGCTGCCAACGAACGCAGTGTCGCCCAATAATTTGTTTTATACATATGATGGGGTGACAATCAACACGACCATCTGCCGGCCTTCCCACAGCCCCATTGCCTCTACCGCCTGGCAGGCTCTGGTGGTTAACCATCTATCTATTAACCAGGTTAAATCCTACTCGGATTCCGAGATCCGATTGAGATCGGGTGCATTCGAGGTGAATTGGTCAGAAGAAAAATGTTGTTGCACGTAGCATGAGTAACAAGGTAACGGAGCATAATTTGCATGGTACATGCTTCGAGTTGCACAAAGAGACAGGAAGAGGAACACCATGGCTCAGAGGGCAAACACAAGTTAGTCATCACATTGATTGTGGAAAAAAATTAAGTGGGATTGGGCAGGACACGCCGCTAGAAGGGACAAACGATCGAGTAGCAGCCAAAGAGAGGAGCATGTCTGAGAACACGTCCACCGTGGAGATAGAGCTTGTATGTACGTTAAAGTTACAGTAAAATCTTGGATTGCGAGCATAATTCGTTCCGGAAACGTGTTTGTAATCCAAAGCACTCGTACATCAAAACACTCGTATATCAGTTGTGATCACGTAACGCTCGGCAGACAAAGCGCATACGTACTACTCGTATTGCTAGACCTCGCTCGTTTATCAAATTAATATTTATTGAACATTTTTGCTCGTTTTGCCAAACACTCGCAGGCCAAGTTACTCGCAATCCAAGGTTTTACTGTATATTGCACCATACGTAGTCAACCGTGCTAATCGGAGGTGGGGGGGAAGGACAACAAACTAAACACAAAACATTTTTAATGAAATTCGTTTTTAAATCTATTAAGTGTGCAGGTGCTTGACGATTTGTTGCATTTCAAGGTCATCAGAGATGGTGGCAGCTTGAGGAGGCCTGCACGCAGCAGTGGATAGGTCATTGATGAATACCAATGAGGTTCGCCTTCACAAGGGATCATCAGCAGAAGATACCAAATTATGTGCTGGGTATAATGGTGAATAAAATAATGAGAGGCTATAAATAGGCAAAATCCTTTTTTATTTCCCAAATAAAATAACACAAGTCCCATCAACCAGTGGGCCTACGTGAGCAAGGTACCCAGTTTCAACTTCTCTGATTGTCCACAGCAGGCCGTGGCCTGGTAAAGCTTGACTGCTCGGATGCGCGGTGTTGCAGGCAAGAGCACTCATCTCTGATTAATTAGCGCAGTTGGTTATGTACGGTGCGAAAGAAGTTCAGTATACGTACATACATCATCATCGTCATCAACTTACAATCGGGCAGCCGGAGGAGTCCAGTGCAGGCACAGTCACGAAGCTGTCTTCTTGAGGCCTAAACGTGGCCCCATGACCTTGTAGGGTCACCAGGAGATACAACAAGATGCTGACCAACCACATGGTTCATCCTCCTTCTCTCCTCATCGTCTTCCTCCCTACACCTCTCCTCCTCCTCTTCCTCCTCCTCCAGCAAAGAGCGTCTCTTTTCAGTCCGTTCTTCTCGAGCGCCTCGTTCTTAGGAGCGGTGCTGCAATTCCCACTTCAGATTGCCTTTCCATGAACCTGCAAGTAAACAGGGTCGGTCGGTCAGCATCCTTTGTTCAGCCAAGACATTAATCAGTTTCCTGAACCATTGGGTGGTGAACGTTTTATATATGTAATATCGCACCGTTGATTAGCAGTGTTGGCTACGTACGGTGCGAACCAAGTTCTACATACATACATATGTCTCACAACGAGAGGGCCGCGATGGTCATTCCGTGAGGCCAATGAAGGGCCGCTATTCGAGATTCAGTTCAGTGCAGCACAGCAACATACTAAATCATTCATACCCTTTCTTGCAAGATTGTAGATAATCATCGTACAATAGGAGGCTTAAGTCCTACTTTATTTTGGTAATGGAATAATCCTTTATAGTTTACTTAGTTACATTCGTGTAATTTGATATTCCCTATGTCCCAACCCATAAACTTTCATAAAACTATAACTATCTGCAACGAATTGTTGGATCTTGCTTGCCCCATATCCTACCTCTTTTCATCTCTCATGCTGTGCTGCCACACTGTGGCTTAAACATGCACTGTGCCGCCCTGATTATACACTTGAAAGACAGAGGCTATGCAACCTAACGGGACTGTTGTAGGGCTGATAGCGAGCACCTTTTAAAGCCAGCAGGGCGTACACGGGGTTCATATCCAGCGGCTTTCACACTTCAGGAGGCCGAGTTGATTTAGCGGAGGCCCAGCACACAGGACAGGTACAGGCACCAAACGCCGTAATGTTTTGCATTGTAGACAGAAATCAAATCTGAATCGCTGGGATCGTTGCTCTTGTGTGTAAATCGCAACTCCCACGCTCTCCCATAACTACACACAACAACCGTGATTCGCCACTCAGTGGCGAGGTTATTTGCACGTTAATGCCACGTGAAGTGTCGAACGCCCGCTAGTAGGAGGTCACGGGATCAGACCGAGGTGCCTCTCACACACACACATACACAAAGGCACACTTATGCACACACACACACGTGTACGCACACTAAATGTCATCTTCACTAACCTGTTTCCTTTACCTCCGTTAAAACTACCCATCTCTTTTCCCTTGCCTATCCTACTGCTACTCTCTGCCCCGGCCTCTCAGCTACGGCCAGACCTACCCCCAACCCCTGTCACTACCCCCATCACTAACCCCATCACTAACCCTACCCCAACCCCTCCTTAACCACTCCCTCCTGTCATCCTAACATAGCTACACCATTCTTTTATTTGAACAACTACCATCTAAATGTGCAATTTTATAATTATTGTAAAGCCCCTTTGACTAAGGCACTATAAATCTATGCAAGATAATTCATATGCACGCACGTATGCAGACGCTGACACATTTTCCAGATTCTATTACAGTGCTTTATATACGTTCCATACGTAACTGCTCATCCTGTGGCATTTTCGACATGTTTAGAACTATTCTTAGCCCGAAGAAATGTAATGGGCTTAGACACCTGCTGTGAAGGCGAGTGTAACACCCTGCTCAGCCAGTGTCTTTGCTGAATTCCACGATTGCTTTCCACAGCAGCTGTTCAGCAATAAATAAGAATTTAGTGCAATCTCTGTGAATGCCCTTCGCAAGCAATTGACTAGGTTCAATCACCACGTGAACGTGCCCTGCTTTGCTTCCTGAGAGATGCTATAACTTTGGCGATATATGTTTGTGGGTTGTGAAATGTACCTTGCATTTCTGCAAGTTCCTACAAGGGGTTTTACCGCAGGCTTTTGGCAATTCCAATCAATACTTAGGGTCCAAGGATTAGTTTTATAGTTTGTTGAAATATATATTTTTTTACAGAGATGGCCAGGTGGGGTGCAGAGGTCAGCATCGAACTGGCGTCGTTCAAAACGTGTGTTTGAATCGGGGGAAGCCAGCCGTGATTGAAACTTAATTCTCGAGCGCAGTGAGTTGATGTCTCAGCTCCATCAACAAAGGCGGCGCTAAAAATGCCACCGTAATATTTTCTTCTGCGCTTCGTTATAAAATATCGATTTTTACTGCCGTGCAACAAACTTAACTTTTTTGTAACAGGGTGTGGTGTGAAAGTGCTGCCCCCCCTCCTCGTGTGGTTCAAAGGTCACCAAAAGGGATGTCAGAAGTAGTGTGATCTCCACTTTGCGGGAGTTCCGAATGGATTTTTTATCTAGTAACATGGAAATTAGAATACAATCGCCATAATAATTGTGGAAAAGACAACAATCTAAGTACATTTCATCAGAGGATATTTATAAGCATCAATTTACGTCCATTTTCCTTAAGTTAATCATTTGCATCCCACTGCAGATTCTACATTAATACCACTCTGCAATCTGTAGAATCGTACCACCATAAATTCTGCACATTCATACCACTCTACAATCTGTAGAATCGTACCACCATAAATTCTGCACATTCATACCACTCTACAATCTGTAGAATCGTACCACCATAAATTCTGCACATTCATACCACGATACAATCTGTAGAGACAAACGCTGGTGGACCAACCTTAGCAGAGCGATGCCTTCCGCCTCATGTGTACGGAACCTACGCGTAGCCGTTCTGGACCGGCTGCTGTACGCGAGATCCATTCGGCTTCGGCCGTCAGAACGGAGCCCTTCATCTGCAGCCCCCGTGACCTGGAGCGGTGTCTGCCGACTGAAGCCCGCTCAGCCGTGACTATCGGTGCTTTTTAAGACCGGATTAAGACCGTATAATTTTCTCTTCTGTTGAGTTTAATTTACGTTACTTTTCCTCGGCGGCCTACGTGCTCTCGTCTCGCCTTCTTGCTGAACGTGGCCGCGCGTTACAAATCTTAGAATGATTGAGTCTTACCGCTGTGGATTCTGCGCATTCATACCACTGTACATTCTACAGGGGAGGGCAGTGTTGCTGCAGTGGTTAGCGCACTGTAGAAATTTACCCGTTAACCTGAGTTGATTAACGGGTCCTGGCTGACATCCGGAGCGAGTAATATCTGAAACGGTTCTGGGCACCTACTTCATCAAATGAAGTGTGGTCAAACAACCTTTAACGACAAAGACAACTTGAGGAGGCCTTCATCCAACAGTGGATAGATCATGGCTGATGATAATAATGATGATGATCCAGGAGAGGATCACTGAGTCCCAAGATCATTTCCAGCAGGGTCCTGAATAGGGATATTTGCCAAATTCCACGTTCATGTACATATGAACTTCTTTTGCACTCTACGTAGTCAACCGCGCTAATCGGAGGTGCAGACGAAGGACAACAAACTAAACACAAAACGCAGTTCTAAAGAGATGAGTTTTCAATCTAGATTTTTTTTATTTTTTTAAATGACGTATGGCACGGGTTCACGAACCCGCTTGCTGTACTGCCACCGCCTGGCCACTCCGTAGCACAGCGGGCGCTCGCGAGCTTAAAAAATAAATCCGCCCGTCGCGATCGACGCGACCCCTCGCTCGCAGAGCGCGCGCGCACTTCAGCGCGCCCGTTGGCTGCCCGCGTTTCTCCGGCTCTTGCCCCAATAGCAGCCGTGTGAGTGGTCGGCGTCGCTGAAGGGCCCTGCCTGGCCGAACAGCTGCCCTCCCTCGCTGCTTAGGCCCTGCTGTCGCTCAGCACAGCCCACAGCCCCCCCCCCCCCACACACAGCTGTCTCTCTCCCTTTTTCTGGCTCGCGAGTAAGTTTGTTTGGATTGCTCGGCATGTGTTTTTGCAGCACATTCTGGTGTCGCCCAAGGACTATTTTAGTTTCCTAGTTGTAGTGTTATTATTATTGTTATTTTTATTGAAGCATCTCCTCTTCATCACGGTTTTTTGCCGTCCCCCGTGGAACAACCTTCCAAATTAGGACGTGTGGTGCATTTGACCCAAGTCACCCGGAATTTGCAACGGTCTCATCAGAGCTCGCGAGCCGCCTATCCCGCTATGCACCACTCGCCTGTCGCGGAAGCTGTACACACCCCCCCCCCCCGCCCTGTGGTTGGATCAATAAAAAATAATTTACCAAAAAAAAATTACATCCTCACACATGTATTAAGTATTCAAAGTAAGTGGACAGAACAGCACGAGGTAGGGGAAAACATTTGCACTGGTAGTTCAGTTCTGTCTGAAATGGCAAAGTAAAAATGTGGCGGTTAACTGTGACCACCGGCCTGCCGGCTCCGTGGTACTACGGCCGCCCTTGCAATCGGAAGGTTACGAGTTCTAATCCTGGTCGCGGGTTCACTCGGCCCAACATCCTTGTGAGGCCGATAAAAACGAGAAACCACTTTGTGGGTTGCCCTGTAAAGGGACTCGCCAACCACCAAGAGATTGCGGAATTTCCACCCCTCTCAGGGCCGTGAACGGGGAAGGTGAGCAGCAATGCGTCAGAATCAGAATCTCTCTAAAGACCGAAGGAATCCGATGAGCTGTGAAGCTCTTTATCCACCGATGTCGAGTAGGGGCGCGGTCATTAATTTGAGCGGGAACTCGCTTGGACTTTGGTGAACGCTGAGAAATGACGGCGCATTTTTTCATGCGCTTGGCGGCAGACGAAGGGGAGGGGGGGTGGAAGGGGTGGAGCGGTGGAACTCTGTATCGCTGCTCTTGGCTTTGCTGTCAAGGCTGGTAGCGTTTTCTGGTTTGGTGACCTCTGCGAAGAGAGAGAGGGAAAAAAACGGGGTTGAAGAATTTGACCCCCAGCGCAAAAAAAGCTTTCGGGGAGTTCTTAAAACGTGTTATGAAATGGCCGGCATGATTTGAGCAGTAAAAATAGACACAGAGCCGAGCTGTGTGCGTGCGTGTGTGTGTGTGCGTGTGTGTGCGTGTGTGTGTGCGTGTGTGTGTGTGCGTGTGTGTGCGTGCGTGTGTGCAAGAATGTGCATGGAGCGGTGGCGCAGTGGTCGGCGCACTACGCCCGTGAGCCGAGAGGTCCGAGTTAGTTTCCAGGCCAAGTCTCGCTTGACTGGCGAGTGGAATCTGAACCTTTTTCTGGGACTCCCCGCTACGTTGACTCGGCCTGAGACGTTTCACCTCGGCGTCGGCGAGAGAACGTCGAGCGCTCTGTGGCAAACAAACACACAAACAGCGGCAGGGTGTCGTGGTGCCTGCCACCACACCACACCAACGTCGCGCGCTGTGTTGCCGGCCTTAACGGGCGCTCGCGGCTGGGAGCGCTTGTCCCAGCAGTCTTCGCGCGAGATTTGCGCTTCAGTGGAATGGCTGAAATGCGCCGTGCTCGTCGTTTGCAATGGAAACATTGGCTGGCACGGCGTCACCGAAAAAATAAAATCACGGGAGATTTGGACGTTGGCCAAAGTCGTGGTAATTGGTCAATTTTTCTCTCTCTCTCTCGTTGTGCGGTGTGCGCGCGTGTGCGTGAGCTTTATTTCAATAACGCATTTCTAATGCGTTTGCGGAAAGTGTAATTAGCTGCGCACGATGGAACAGCTGGAGATAAGACGAGAATCCGACGTTTGTGCCATTGCGCAACCGAGGCAGCAAAACTGCTTAAGTAACCCCCCAGGAAAAGTTTAGTAATTTTTTTGTTTTGTACAATTATTTTAAATTTGCAAACGATCTCAATTACACGTGTGTGTATAATATAGACATTTCGTTTGATATCGGTTATTGTGTGTATAATATTTGCGTGTGAAATTTGCCAAAATATTTTTTGGATCGCTCTTACATAATGTGTACAGTATGTGTATCACAATCTACCAGAACGGTAAATCACCATACAGTGAGGGAAAAAAAGTATTTGATCCCCTGCTGATTTTATACATTTGCCCACTGACAAATAAATTATCAGTCTATAATTTTAATGGTAGGTTTATTTGAACAGTGAGAGAGAGAATAACAACAACAAAAATCCAGAAAAACGCATGTCAAAAATGTTATAAATCGATTTGCATTTTAATGAGGGAAATAAGTATTTGACCCCTCTGCAAAACATGACTTAGTACTTGGTGGCAAAACCCTTGTTGGCATTCACAGAGGTCAGACGTTTCTTGTAGTTGGCCACCAGGTTTGCACACATCTCAGGAGGGATTTTGTCCCACTCCTCTTTGCAGATCTTCTCCAAGTCATTAAGGTTTCGAGACTGACGTTTGGCAACTCGAACCTTCAGCTTCCTCCACAGATTTTCTATGGGATTAAGGTATGGAGACTGGCTAGGCCACTCCAGGACCTTAATGTGCTTCTTCTTGAGCCACTCCTTTGTTGCCTTGGCCGTGTGTTTTGGGTCATTGTCATGCTGGAATACCCATCCACGACCCATTTTCAATGCCCTGGCTGAGGGAAGGAGGTTCTCACCCAAGATTTGACGGTACATGGCCCCGTCCATCGTCCCTTTGATGCGGTGGAGTTTTCCTGTCCCCTTAGCAGAAAAACACCCCCAAAGCATAATGTTTCCACCTCCATGTTTGACGGTGGGGATGGTGTTCTTGGAGTCATAGGCAGCATTCCTCCTCCTCCAAACATGGCGAGTTGAGTTGATGCCAAAGAGCTCCATTTTGGTCTCATCTGACCACAACACTTTCACCCAGTTGTCCTCTGAATCATTCATATATGTTCATTGGCAAACTTCAGACGGGCATGTATATGTGCTTTCTTGAGAAGGGGGACCTTGCGGGTGCTGCAGGATTTCAGTCCTTCACGGCATAGTGTGTTACCAATTGTTTTCTTGGTGACAATGATCCCAGCTGCCTTGAGATCATTGACAAGATCCTCCCGTGTAGTACTGGGCTGATTCCTCACCGTTCTCATGATCATTGCAACTCCACGAGGTGAGATCTTGCATGGAGCCCCAGGCCGAGGGAGATTGACAGTTATTTTGTGTTTCTTCCATTTGCGAATAATCACACCAACTGTTGTCACCTTCTCACCAAGCTGCTTGGCAATGGTCTTGTAGCCCATTCCAGCCTTGTGTAGCTCTACAATCTTGTCCCTGACATCCTTGGAGAGCTCCTTGGTCTTGGCCATGGTGGAGAGTTTGGAATCTGATTGATTGATTGCTTCTGTGGACAGGTGTCTTTTATACAGGTAACAAGCTGAGATTAGGAGCACTCCTTTTAAGAGTGTGCTCCTAATCTCAGCTCGTTACCTGTATAAAAGACACCTGGGAGCCAGAAATCTTTCTGATTGAGAGGGGGTCAAATACTTATTTCCCTCATTAAAATGCAAATCAACTCATAACATTTTTGACATGCGTTTTCTGGATTTTTTTGTTGTTATTCTGTCTCTCACTGTTCAAATAAACCTACCATTAAAATTATAGACTGATCATTTCTTTGTCAGTGGGCAAACGTACAAAATCAGCAGGGGATCAAATACTTTTTTCCCTCACTGTATGTGGGGTCATAAAATGTATATATATAGACTTTAGCCGTTCCTAGCGAAGCCAAGCTGTGCGCGTAGACCATCAACACAGTACACCTGGTTTTTATTGCAAGGGACTGAAATATGGATTTGAAGGCAGGATCTCAGCAATGCTGACTTGGTATTTTTTTACATATTCATTATAATCCCTCTCCCTCACCCGGCCGATGTGATTGGTCGGTATGGCAGCGTTGGAGCAAGTATTGCTTTTTACACACAACGTTGTTGCCACAAATGAACCACAATGCCTCGCCGATCTCGTGAAGGAGCATAAACCGTCACGTGAGCTGCAGTCATCCTCGCAGCGGCTTTTGGCTGGGCCATCGAACAGAGACGGTCACGGCATCGAGCGCTTTCAGAAGCGCTTCTGCGGCCGTCTGGAACGCTCTTCCGATATTAGGAAGCCACTGGAACTATGCGCTTTTAAATCTATATCGAAAATTAATTTATTTAGAACTACTTTTTGTGTTTAGTTTATTGTCCTTCCCCCGCACCTCTGATTAACACGGTTTGGCTACGTACTCTGCGAAAGAAGTTCAACGTCCATTCATACATTGGGGCACATTTCAATGCTAAACGTATCGCAGTCGAAGGTAAGACACGAGGTGTAAGACACGTCCTTCCGAAATTCTCACAGTGAGCAGTCCGTCGTATCACACCAGGGAATGGTCCTGGAAGATGACACCGCAGAGCCACTGCAAAACGTACAACAAACACACCATGTTAATAATTTATTGCACCTTTTAATGGGTGGAGCAGTGTGTGGAGTAGTTGACAAGCACTGTGCTATGAACCTGACGTGCCTGAGTTTGGCCACATGGCTAACGTCAGTGGTGAGTGATTTCTGAACTTGTCTAGACCCCGCCTCCCCTCCTTCCCATTCACCAAACCTTACGAACCAGCATGGTGAAGTATGGCCAATACAACTCCCTTGACTGACATCAGTGGATTTACAAAGTGCTGAAAAGCCACGTGAAGTTTTTGTTTTGTTTACGCGGTAGTCGTTTTAGTTTTTCTTGCGAAAGTGTTTCATTGATACTATAATGTTATTGTGTCACTGGTGAAGTCATTGAGTCGTCTAACTTGTCTCAAGTGACATGCATGGCTATGTGGAGCATGCTGAAACGAGAGAGGCTTCAATTCAAACGGAATTAATACATCCGCAATGCAGGCAGCCAAGGTGCAAACGCTTTTTAACGCGAGCCGCCGGCAATTTTAACGGCACCGTTAATTACGGGAAGTTTCCGCGTAGGAAACGCTTTCCCCCTTGGGGCGTTTTTTTCGGAGGGATATTTTTGGGACCCGCTCTGTGCCTAAAGCGTGGTGTGCTGATAATGTCAGCTGATATTATTACAACTCGAAGCTGGCGTGGCAGGTGTGTGTGTCAGTGCATTTACGAAAATAACACTCTGCCCCCTCAGCCATCCCTCTCTCCCACCAACCAAAGACAAAAGACAAAGATCCCCCGTGTGGCCTTACCAGACTGTCAGAGCAAGTGCTGTCAGTGAGCACTCGCGAAGGCACGGTACGCAAAGGGGTGGGTCGCCAGCACCACGCCGGGCCGACTTTGTTTCCCCAGTGGCGATGTTTACACACCGCGTCAGGTACTCGTTTGAGGCCAAGTCAACTTGGGGGAGGCCCAGGACTGATTCAGATAACCGTCACTGTTGTTGGCCGTGAGCGGGAATCGAAAGCTGGGTCGCTGGGTTCGTGGAGCAGCGTAGCGGCTAACCGCTACACCACCGCTCTCCCATCCCACCACTATCACCACTACCACCAGCAGCACCCTCCTGCACTCCCCCCTTCAACGACTCGGGTCCCAGTCTCCTGGCACAACCCCTTTCCCACTCCATCAACAATCCCCACTGCAGCCAGCATAGGTTCGGGCTCTTGCGTTTTGTTTCGTATTTTCCTCAACGTGTTATCCCGATCGTGTTATTTACGCCATTGGACGAAGAATCCGGCAATCCTCGCAGAGCCGTGCGGCTGCCTGCGTTGGAGAACGGCGCCTCGGAAGTGGATATCACGAAACTACTCATGAGAGGCCTACTAGGAGGCAAAACTTTACCACCTACGCCGACACGTGGGTTTATGTTCGTTGCATGACAGTCAAACTGATATAATTAATTCTGAGAGCTGCCATTTAGTGAAATAAAGCACAGAACCAGATCTGTCCCATGTGTGTGTCTCTCTCTGTGTGTCTCTGTGCTGGCTCTCTCTGCTTGGATGTCTGTATATGTGTCTGTGATCTGTACTCCTATCACTCTTAACCTATAATTTAGCAATCTTTGAAATAACGTAATCAGCCAGACCATGCGTTAATTGTGTTTTGACCGACCCTCTGTGCTGCATTATATTGTTTCCAAATTTTACTAATTCTTGTTCAATTTGATGTGCTTCTCCATCTTTCTGTGTTTCCTCTCTCTCTTAAATTTAGCTCTTCTATACCTGATGATGATTGCTTGCGTTGCAATCGAAACGTCGTATGCTATTATGTAATTTTATATTAGTATTTCTTATTTCTACGTGACTTTACCGAAAAAAACAAAGAGCAGATCTGCTTTGATGGGTTATTTTTTTTGCACAGTCAATGGTTGACTGGGCTGAGACAATCAACTCACCACACTTGAGAATCTGGCTTCACCACAGGTGGTTAAAACCCGGAGTCAAACCCAGGACCTCAGTCATGCCACCGTAGCGCTCTAAACCTCTGAGCCACCCGACCACTTCTCACGCGAGTGCAGGCCGATAACTACTGTGACACTGCCCCCATCATATATTTATTAATGTCTGCATATTTAATGTTTTTAATACCAAAGATACAACAGATTTGAGTTTCGAGGAGTTCCATACGGCAAAGAGATGTTCTGAAACTCCTTCATGTCGTGATTTCGGGGGTATATCCCCGGAACTTATCAAGGAGTCACTTCAATAGGCCTCTACCTCGACACTGCTGTGCCAGGTATCGGTTGTCTGACGTGTTTACACACGCTTACATCGGAGTCATTATCGCTAGGCTTAGCCGTGTGGCACAGCAAGACATACTGAGCGAGTACCAGAGAGTGTGCGACAGTGTGTGTCTTGGCAAGGCAAAGAGAACGATTGGGAATTGTGCACCATTCCGTCATCCGTCGTGGTGACTGATTGACAACTGCGGACATAGCTGTGGTTGGGAGGCAGTGCCAGTGGGGCGCTGTTAAAGATCGCGATACCATGAAGAGATGAATCAGATTTCACTTTCAGTTAGTCCTTACCATGTATATTCCGTCATGTGACCCAGCATTGAAATAAACTCCAGGAAGGAATATTGATAGTATTACTGAATTTTGATTTGAAGCTTTCGTGACTGCAGGGATTCATATTCTTGGTTCTTTCGGTAAAGTCACGTATAAGGGAAACAATAAAATAATAAAAATATAAAACAATGAAATTCTCACGACGTTTCTACTGCAACACAAGCAATCATCATCAGGTGTGAAAACCACAGCAAGAAAATGTTCTTGCTGTGGTTTTGTGTTGCAGTCGAAACGTCGTGAGAATTTAATTGTTTAATATTTTTTATTTTATTGTTTCTCTTATATGTGACTTTACCGAAAGAACCAAGAATATAGTATTTCGGAAGTTTTCTTTTTAAAATAAATTATATAGAAATACTTTGTGTGAACGCTTGGAATTTAGCCAGAAAGGGGAACATGTGGATCTAGCAACGAATGCAAATTGAGCTACAATTTTGTACTGGCTGTGAAGAAAAGTCAAAGTGTGCTTGGGTGGGATCACGTTGCTAGAAAGGATTGAAGGCTGCTTGACAGGATGGCGATGGAAATGCAACCAAAGGAGAGAATGCACCCAAGAGGACCGACCACTGCAATTGAGATCGTGCGATGAGATCACATCCCGCGCTGGAGCGCAAGATGTGATTTTGGAGCTCGACGCTCGAGTCAAAGTTTAACGTCACCAACGCAATGGGCGTGATCGGCGGTGATCGTCTCTACCGGCGGACCCGATCGAGTGGAGGGAATTCCATGTTGCTATGACAGGGACCATCTCGCCACGGTGGCGAGATGTTAACTAACCTCGCCTGGTATACATGAGGTGGGTTCGATCCCTACCCTTACGCCTGTTGTATATTTGGAGTTCGCATGTCTCTGGGTCCTCCGGTTTTTTTTTCCCCCTCCACATTTAGAAACATGCGTTTATTATTTGGGTTCTGTATATTCCCACCTGAGAAGCCACTTCTTAGGAGCTGTCATTTGTGGCCAAATCACTTCTGAAATAGAGCCATATGCCTCGGTGCGCCTCACCTGGTGCAATACAAAAATAGTTTTAGTTTTTCTAGGTGGAATAATAGCGTCACAGGACCATGAGGAGGCTTGACAATAACACCGTGATGATGTTAATAAAATGAATAATGTTGTGATGACGTTGGCGGTGGTGTGCAAGCACAAACAAACAACAACAACAACAAATGCAAGGCATTCGTTGATAACGCTGCCTTAAAAGGATAAATGTCCAATAAGCAGCGTTTCTGGCCTATTATATATCATTCATTTGCAAGGCCACACAGCGTTATTTTGAAACAAAATGTAACTTGGTGAATGTGGCTATGGTGACACCAGCGGGTCTTTAAAATCCACTTCACAGCAGGTGGCACACTCCGCCTAATCTCTCCAAGAATAAAAGCGTCTGCCAGCTCCGACGAGCGTGGGGCGATTCTCATCTCTGTGCCGGTGATGGAATGGAAATTCCACGTTCCCCCGAGGTTTGCCCCCCCCCCCCCCCCCCCCCCCCCCTTGTTGGCCTGCCACCGAGTGATGGCCGTTTGCTGCATCAACCTGGAAGGGATGATGTGCCGATTGGGCCGCAACTCTGTTTTTACAAACTCTCGCAGCCTTCGGCTTTTGCACGTGGAGCAACCTTGCCACAGCGGCACATCTTTAGCCCCCCCCCCCCCACCCCCCCCCCCCCCAAGCAAAACTTTGACAATAATTTCTTTAGAACTGCCTTTTGCACGTTAGTTTGTTGTCCTTCCCCTCGCACCTCCGATTAGCGCGATTGGCTATGTACGGTGTGAAAGAAGTTCTACATACATAGACTCACAGTGAGACACATAGACTCACACAGAGACCCATAGACTCACACAGAGGCCCATAGACTCACACGGAAACACAGACTCACACAGAGACCCATAGACTCGCACAGAGACCCATAGACTCGCACAGAGACCCATAGACTCGCACAGAGACCCATAGACTCACACAGAGACCCATAGACTCACACAGAGACACATAGACCCACACAGAGACACATAGACTCACACAGAGACACATAGACTCACACAGAGACACATAGACTCACACAGAGGCCCATAGACTCATACAGAGACCCATAGACTCACACAGAGACCCATAGACTCACACAGAGGCCCATAGACTCACACAGAGACACATAGACTCGCACAGAGACCCATAGACTCGCACACAGACCCATAGACTCACACAGAGACCCGTAGACTCGCACAGAGACCCATAGACTCGCACAGAGACCCATAGACTCACACAGAGACCCACAGTTTGTTGTCCTTCCCCCGCACCTCCGATTAGCACGGTTGGCTACGTATGGTGCGAAATGAGTTTTGCATACGTACATACAAAACGTCAGCTGCGATGGGAATTTAATTATCAAATCTGTGCAAATCGTCCGTTTAATGCTGTGCCACCGAGAAAACCGCAGCACCCGACGTTAAAGCTTCAGAGAAACAAGCACGAAAATTTCCGCGTTGCGCGCGATTCCTGCGAAACGTCGTTTGTTCTCGGAAGTTTCTTTTTTATTAGCGGTAATAATAATTAAAATGTATAATGCGCATTCCATCCTGGGATCCCAATGCGCAATGCATGACAAGGAAGAAACAAAACACAGAACCAGGGGCAACTGACCAAACTAAAGAGGGAAGGCCACTTTAGAGAGATGGGTTTTCAAAGCAGACTTAAAGTTTCGATTTAAAGCTTTCATGACCGCAAGGATTCATCTTCTTTGGTTCTTTCAGTAAAGTCACGTAGAATGAGAAGAAAATAAGACAATAAAATTCTCATGACGTTTTGGCCACAACACAAGTAGCCTTCTTCAGGTGAAGGAACAAAACTGAAGAAAAACTGAAGAAGGCTACTTGTGTTGTGGCCGGAACGTCGTGAGAATTTTATTGTCTTATTTTATTATTTTTGTCTCATTCTACGTGATTTTACCGAAAGAACCAAAGCAGACTTAAAGTTACCGACTGCGATTGCCTAATGTCAAGTGGCGAGGCGCTCCATGGTTTGTGATGCCACGCTAACAAAAGCCCGATCACCAAGAGAGCGTAAACTAGACCTGGGAGTGATGAGAAGATTAGAAGCTGTTAAGGATCTTGATGGAATATAAATGTATTAGTTCCTGCAAGTAATGTGGGGCGAGCCCTTTTTTAAAGCCTTATAGGTAAGATCGCAGTATCTTAAAATCCACTCGGAATTTAACCGATCGCCAACAGTGTTGTCGTGCGAACTGCGTGACATCTGACGTCACAGGCGGTGTCGCGCGCGGCATGACGCCATTGGGATTGGAGGCGCTCGCATTGGCGCGGGACGTCATCACCTTGACCCCGATCGTTGATTTGGCTGGATTTATTATATAGGGCAGGAGTCGGAACCTGTGCAAATCCCGAGCCGCACGTCGCTCTGAAAGGACTTCTTTGTGATGTTATTTATTAAGGACCACCGTCCCGTCTCTTAAAATATTGAGTTTTTTTGACCGAATTCGACGAAAAATGACTTCTTGTTATTTTGGTTGCTCACCCCTGATATAGGGTAAGTGCTTAATAGTCACACAGCTTGAAAACTGAACTTTTCAATTATATCGGATCATCTTTACAAGCGATTTCGCGTTCCTCCACCAACCCCCCCGTGCCGCAGAAAGACAGACGGGCAGAGCTAATGCATAAACACTTTCAACCTTGGTTGGAAAACATAAAAATTTAGAACGGCCAAAGAAGAAAAAGCTAAACTTTCCGATGCACCCTCCCCATGGCAGCCAAAGTCACCCTGAAGTAACTTTGCCTGTCATTCCTGAGCACTTGGTACAGTCTGTGCGGGCATATGTTTTTTTCTTTTGAAGCCCGTGGATTTGTCCAACCTCCCCCCCCCACCCTGTTGCTGTCAGAGGTTCTTGGAGCCACATGGTACAGCCCAAAAAGCAGGGGCGGCTTTACGTTTTTTATTTTTAGTACAGTGCTGTTACTATTCCTGCTTCTTAGCCACTCCTACCGAACACCCTTGGCGCGCTCACACAACACACGAACGCACGAACCTCGCTGTAGTGTTGAAGAAAGACGAGCGAGGAAGCGACGAAGCTCACGATCGCGACGTTCCGTCGGGGAGCTCAGATTCCACGAGCGGAGTGATTTCTACTCGAGGAGCGGCGCGTCGTTGTTCTGACAAGAATCCGCAAGTGTTCAAGTGTTCCGCCTGCTTGCGTATATCGGTTTTTTTATTTTACTTCCTTTTTTTTCCTTCAACTTTTGTTACATAGGCATTATAAAAGTAGCTTTTGTTGAAGTCTGTTCTGGCATTTTTGGAGTTGCATTTCTAGAAGTCAAATCATATTCGGCATTTTTCCTCCGCTCATTTTTTCCCCCTCTCCACCACCTCTCAGTTATATGATGTCTTTGTAAAAAAAAAAAATTCACCGCGAGTATTATGAACACAGTGTTAACGCTGGCAAACCGTTGCACGGCGCCGTTGCTTTTGGCGTCTGGGAACAAGAAGCCTCTTGTTGGATTCCAGAGATTTTCCGTGCGTTGATGGGAATCTGGGAACAACAGAGTGTCAGCTCCTGTGATTCCGTCTCATTCACTTGTGCCGGCCGCGACCGCGCAAACGATGCTTCAGCTTTCAAGACACCTGCCATCACTCGCTGCACCGTTGCTCCCTCGGTCTGGTTACTCGGTGTAGGCGGCTGACAGCGCTGGGGAGATTCTTTTCCGTCGGACGCAACTCTGTAACGATGCGCGCCGCCCTTTGATTTTGCGGTAAGGAGTGCCGCTTGTCTCGCCGCGTCGGCGATCACGGGGGTCCCTCTCTTTTAACCCTTGAAGATTTCGGCTGTCGCCGCAAAACGTCGCCGGCCGTTGCGCCCGAAGGACTCGACCGATCGCTTCTCCCCAAACGTCGGCGACAGCCGTCGTTCGAACTCGAGTTCAGCGAGAGCACGTCTTCCGTCGTTTGTTGCTGTCCGAAAATCCACGCGGGAATATTGTTGCGTTTTCCAGGACCTCGTAGGTTTTACATCGAAGCTCATTCACGAAGTCAAGTCGCGACGTGAGTGAAGTAGAACATTTTTTTCCCCATTTTTTTTATCTTAAAATTTCAGTTTTATGTCAGCGATTTAAACTCCGTATTTGTGTTGAGCGCAGCTTTAAACTTTTGACGGTGTTTATTTTAACGTGGTCCATTTTAAGAGGCGATTTGGAATCAAGCATTCTTCTGTAGTTTGTAAAAAAAATTAACAAATAAAACGGTATTTGAATAAGTTTAGAATTAAATTGCTCATTCTTTTCTTCAGTTGATCCGATCAACAAGCAAAGGAAAAACTCTTGCGAGAAAGGTCTTGCAGTGATTTCTTATTTAACACTTTAATTTATTATCAATTTGCTCTCATTTTTGCCTTTCCATACATTTTATTAATATAATAATATCTCAATAATTAATTTTCATATATTGATTAAAATTAGAATATATGCATTTAAATGCTACGTTCATAATAGAATTCTCAATAATTATTTTTGATATCGCTATCATCATTCTGCGAACTTTTGCGCTGACTCAAATTGCGAGCGACCCTTAACGCAGACTGGGACGCAAATCTGCGAGTTTAAAAATCGAGGGAAAGATAAATAAATCTGTAGCAACGCTGTGTTGTTGTTGTTTTTAGCTGCTTGGTATTATTATGAGCAATAACAACAACAATCCATTCTGGGGCACGTACAATTGATTTCGAGAAAACGCCAAACTTTTCGTTTTTGTACACGTTTGACATCATGCGCGCCTGCGTGTGTATGCCCGCGTCCGTAAAAGCGTAGCACTCACTTTGAACGTACAAACGCATTGTTCCCTCTTAAATTCCTGCGACTCCATCTGCACTTGACACCAGCAGTGTTAGAAAGCGCGAGGTGGTTCAACGGCAAGAGAAACTGCGGCATCGGCAACAGCAGCAAGCAATAGGTGCAGCAGTAAAAGCGGAAACAGAAGCGCAGTTGGTGCAGCAGCAGCAGCAACAGAAAGCATGAGCAGTTGGTGAAGCAGCGGTTGGAGCAGTCGAATCCACTCGGGCAGCCGAAGCCAAAAACCATCGCAACCAAACGCCCGACTTTTCTGTATATATTTTTCTAAATTACATTTTATATTATCTGCCCGCAAATCCGACTCTGGGTGACGGCGGAACGGGGGTGGTGGTGAGGACGAAGAGGGGGAGGGAGGGAGGGAGGGACTGGACGTCGAACGACGGGCGACGAGCGGGCCGCCGAGCCGAGGAGGAGGGAGCGGGACTCCGACGCTGCCGCGAGCACGGAGAGGGGGGCTACGCGGGGGGGCGCGGAGAAGCGGGCGCGGCACGCGGGCGCGATGATGATCAAGGACAGCGTGTCGCTGCGCCAGGACCCCGACCTGCGCGGGGAGCTCGCATCCCTCGCTCGCGGCTGCGACTTTGTCTTCCCGTCGCGCTTCAAGAGCCGACTGCGGCTTTACCGCCAGCTGCAGGTAACGGCGGACCGGTTGCCGCACGGAAGTGGTGCGGGTTGAGCGACCCTCCCCGGGGGGATTTTAGGAAGGGGAAGGTGGCAGGAAAGGGTTGGGGATCAGCGGGTTGCGACGGGAGGCACGCGTGTGCAGGATGGATGCTGGGGGGGGGGGAGGGATAGCGTAAGCAACTTGGAAGTTTGGGATCGGCAGTAATGGCCCCGTGATGACCCCCGCTTTCCGTGACATCGGGCGGCTTGCAACATAAGTGCGCAAAGCATACATGATGTTTTACATATGGTAATACAGAATGTACTGGCAGAGATGTGGTGCGGTGGTTTCCGCACTGTGTTGTGAACCTGTCAACCTGGGTTGGATTCCTGGCCATGACTAACACCTGTTCAAAGCCCCCTTCACAAACCTGCACTATCCAGTATGGTGAAGTATGGTCCAGCAACCCCCCCCCCACCCATAATCGACACAGCACAGGGAGGCCTTCACCCAAAATTGGGTGACAAAGGCACTGAAAACGATGATGATGAGGTTTGGGGCCGCACTGCACACGAGGGGGGAGGTGGTGGTGGCGCTAGCACCAGAGGTTTGTTCTCCACAGTGCCCGGTGTCTGCACACCTCGCCAGCTACTCGATTCCCTGTTTAAGGCAAAGCATGCGCGGCCGGTTAATCAAATCCAGACATTTCGGATTGCAGTACAGTGCAATGTACGTATTTATTTTGAACTTCTTTTGCACCGTACGTAGCAAACCAGGCTAATCGGAGATGCGGGGGGAAGGACAACAAACTAACACACAAAAAGCAGTTCTAAAGAAATTAGTTCTCAACCATTTAAGTTGCAAATTAACTTAGAGGAGGCACCCATTACCAGTCCAGATATTCACCACTGATATTAGCCATGAGCGGAGAATTGAACTCGGGTCGTTGGGTTCAATAACCACTACCCCACCGCAGCCCACGTGTGCACACTTTGAGTGTGATGGCTGTGGGCTGTTAACGAGCACTGCAATTCCAGCTCGCGACCACAACAAGCTTACAAGGAGTGAGGTTTACAGTGGCGTGACAAATCACCCCTTCAAGCTGCCTCCTAAGGGGCGTGAATGGTCTCATTGTGCTTTGGCCACGCCGATAAATTGCACGTCTGCGCGCAAAACGTGTTCCGTAACGAAACTTTACCTCGTGCGTGTTTTTTCCTGGCTTTCAGTGTCATCGAATACGCCTGGTGTGTGTGTGTTTGTGTGCGTGCGTGGGTAGTGGTGACGTAGTGGTTCGTGTAGCACGCTCCGGTCTGGCGACCTGGGTTCGATTCCCAGCCATGTACGACAGTCGGTGGGAATTGGCATCCTGGGTCTCCGCTCAGTGGGGTCGTTTTTAAATGTGTGTAACAAAATCAGCAACGCAGAAACAAAGGTGGCCTGATCTATTGCTGGCCACACCACTCTCTCATGTGCCATTCTAGCCTTAATACAAAATAACCATTGACACCATTGTGAATAATATAAGGAACAACATAAATAATTATCAGTGAGTATATCTTTTGCATGTATGTTGAACTTCTTTCGCACAGCCATACGTAGCCAACCGTGCTAATCGGAGGTCCATCATATTTCCGTCCTTCCACATGTTACGGAAGTGGTATTTTTTTCCACTTCCGGTTAACCACAAAGTCTTCTGGGAGTGCAAAATAGGTGCTCGTGAACAGCATTTTCCCACCACGATCTATCGGGCCACACACTAGGTCTTTGCCACTTTCTTTTGTGCTCTGCCAATGGGCAGTAGTTTACGCGCTGTGCTATTCTCCCAAGGCTGGGGTTAGATTCCCGGTTATGGATATGGGTGGCGTGTTTGCACGTGTGCGTTCAATGTGTCCACGTCAAGGGTTTACAGCAGTGCCAGCCACCTTATTTTATTATTTCTACAGTTTATTTTTCCTTTTGTGGGCCATGAGCAGAGCTGTGTGGCTCCATGCCTTATTTGTGCGCCCGTCGCAACTATTTATGCCGACACTCCTTCGCATTGACCTTCCTGCACTCCCGTTGTGTTTTAAGACATCAAAGGCTGCATTGGGGAATGGGGACAACGGTGGCGAGATGTTACCTTCCTCGCCTGGTATACAGGAGGTCGTGGGTTCGATCTCGACCCCGATGCCTGCTGTATATTTGGAGTTTGCATTCTCTCCCTGTGGCGGTGTGGATTTTTCTTAGGGTCCTCCGGCTCTTCCCTCTGCATTTATAATCAACTTGCATATAGAGTAATTGACTGCTATAAATGTCCACGTGATGTCACTTCTTTGAGCTATCATTTGTGATAGCCCAGGCTTACTTCTGAAAAAGAGCTATGTAGCTCAGTGGGCCTTACCTGGTAAAATAAAATTTAAAAAATAGTTAAAATGCACCACCTTTGCTCTAAAAAATTTTGGAGGAAGGTCTGCCCATGTCTCGCTCAGCAACTGTGGGGCTAATTGGAAAGGTGGTGCGTTGCAAGCCCCTTTTTTTCACCTGCAAAATTGGGCCCCAGGTGTTTTTTGTTGTTGTTGCTGCAAGGCTTCGAGCGTCTTAACGGACTTCTGAGTTGATATAACGAGGGGGGCTGCCAGTTGTGAAGTTGCGCAAGTTCAACCCTGACCTGGTAACCATTAACATCGTCATAATCATCACCACCACTTTCATCTTCACGACTTCCATCATCACCACCATCACCACCACCACAACCATCTTCATCAACATCATCGTCGCCAACATCATCATCACCACTGCCAGTAACTTAATTACCACCGTTATCACCACTGCCGTCATCACCATCATATTTGCAATCTTCATCATCCATCTGTTATTTGTTAAAAGAGAGGACAGGTGGGTGCTCTTGTTGTCGCTGCGCGAGTTAAGGGAAGACTGGTCCCTGTCATACCAACATGGAATACTCACCAAAGTCTCTAGAACCCTGTTTCCCCCATCCCCACCCACCCCCTGCTAACCCCCCCCAACGGAAATGAATACCAATCATAGAGCAGGGAAGCCAAATGCAGAGAGAGAGGTGGGGGTAGATGGTGGTAAGCCAGAGGGGGGGGGGAAAGGCACAATTTTTCTTTCTCATATGGCTATGATTATACACCCGGCCATGCCCAAAGATGTAGCGTCTGTGCTCGCTACGTACGTGTTTCAACGCACGGGCGTATTTGCATCAGTGTGTCGTGCTCGCCCGAGCTTTTGCAAACACATCGAACATAATCGCCTTTGCACAGTGCTGGCCAGCCCAGTTTCATTCCTGGTTACTGATTATGCATGTGGTTCTAGGGGCAAGGTAGAAATAAAGTAATCCCATGTTTTTTTTCTCTCTTCGGACGTGCTTGTCTCGTTTGTGCCATTTTCTCCACAACTTTATCCCGAGCAGTGCGTCCGCTCGTGTTCGAGAATGGCCCACAGAAGGAGAGCACGCGGTGAGGAGTAGACTGAGATGAGACGGGGAGAGTGAGGAGAGTGTGCAGTGGGGAGTAGACTGAGCTCTTAGAGGGGGAGAGGTAGGAGAGTGTGTGAACAGACGGTAGATGCGAGGACCGGCAGGAGAGTGTGCGGAGGGTAGTTGCGAGGAGAGGGGAGAAGTAGGCAAGCGGCGAGCGCATGGGTGACCTTTGGTAAGGGTGACGTTAAACTAACTTGTCATGCATTACTCTCCAACGCCACTCGTGCGCAGGTTTGTTTGCGAATGCCCTGAAGTCATCCCGTTATTTCTCATCCAAGTCCCGCTCGGTGGAGCGACAACACATCCTCCTGGTGGGAGGAGTAGGGTGGGGGGGGGGGATCAATTTAAGGAAATTGTCAGTGGCGTTCCAGTGGACGGAGTGGGCTCTGTCACGGAAACGTGTGATTCTCACGTGAGCGCCGGTCTGACTTTGGCTCCGTGACTTCGATCCCGGGGCCCGGTGCATGACGTGGGTGCAAGCGCCGCCGTTCTGCGCGCACCTAAATTTGGCTCGCGTGTAAAAAAAAAACCCCTCTCTCAGCTCCCTTCCAAACTGTACGGGCGTCCCGACACAAAGGCGCCCTTATGAGTGGCGACTCGCCTCTTCACACTGGCCTCTCTCTCTCGGTGACACGCTGACTCACGCGGACCCCCCCCCCCCCCTACCACCACCCCCCCCCTCTCTCCGCGCGAGCCTCCATCTCTCGCCCGTGAGGCTTGCCAAGTCGGCGGAGGTCCCGTTTGTGCCCGTTGTGTTTTTATCCAGAATCGGCCAAAGAAACGGCCCCCTGTTTCGCTTGTTTGGCGTCGTCGCGGTGGTAAATAAATACGTCCGTGGCCTTTTATTTGCGCTCGGAGTCCTCGCTGAGTCTCGCGACTCTCTCTTTCTCTCTCTCAGGAAGGTCCTGCATTTGAATGTTTGGGCTGTTTCCTTAAAAAAAAAAAGGTTATGAATCCCGAACGTCCCATTCGCACGGTTCGCTACGTGCGGTGCGAAAGGAGTTCTACATTCATACATAAAGTCTAGTTTTTTTATTCATGTTTTTTTCTTTTAATTGCAGATCTCTATTGAAAGAATGAACCATCATCTCAAGTGTTCCCTTGCCCGGTTTAAATCAAGGATACCTACTTTCTACGTCCAATTTAAGATCATTCACCTTGAACAACTTATGGGCGTGTAGATGCACATTTAAGGTACAGTAAAATTCTTGGATTGCGAAAACGTGTTTGTAATCCAAAGCACTCGTATATCAA